GCTGCAATGTAACGCAAGTCGGCGCTCTTCAATCATGCCACACTTTAAGTTCCACCTCATGAAATATCATGCCGCCTAGCATTATGAAATAACACGAACGTTGAATATTGCCGACTCCTGCATGCACAGTAAGCAGCACCTCAGGAATGAGAGAGTGAGAGAGAGAGAGTGAAATGTGCTCAGTTGAGAATATATGAAACTATTTTTATTGGATTTGTGCACTCATATTTCGAGTGCATATAATTTTGGCATGTCAAGTATGCTCAGATGCCTAAGACATGTTCGTTCGCATCGTTATTGCTACGAAATGAGCGATAGTCAGTGCTGAAGCAAGCACACTTGCCATAAATAAGACTCCGTACATAAAGAAATCGGATAACCTGCGCATTATCTCAGAAACATAACTCTTTGTAATAAACAGCTCAGAAACAAGCATAATCATGAGTAGAACAAATACGAGCCTTGCATGGGCTGAAAGTAATTTAAGCTTGTTATGCTCGGAATAAAAGACTAGCATATTAAATAATAAACAACTACTTTAAATCTTGAATACATAAATTGTTGAAGTGTTTTCATTAGAGCTCTCAACAAACAAATAACATATTATCGCATTTCCTTTTAATGCAGCAGTGAATGCATAATCTATATACAGTACTTAAAGCTATAGATTAGCGGAAACACACTTTTCTATACATTAAATGGGCAACAGTTTTTCAATCGAAAATTGCCGGTGCCAAGAAAAATTGTAGGTGAAAAATTTAGACTTTTCAAATATTTTAGAAAATAATAACAAATTTTTTGTATTTGTCAATTCTAAACACATTTTTATTGGAATTTAAGATCCAAGTTAAATTGAAATATCTGAAGTGTATTTATAGTAAAATATAAAAATATGTATATTTATACTGAATTTTACTTTGCAAAATTTCACAAAAATATATATTGCATTTATTATTATTGGCTTTGCAAACTCGACTCGATTTGAAATCCCTTCATAAATATATTGATCCCAATGCTTAATTTGTTAACTAAAAGTTGTTCAAATTGTGTTAACTGTCAAATGCAGATCGTAACACTTTGCAGCTATTGGCATGCTGCATGCAAAAGAGGGGCGTGACTTAAGCCACGACTTTGCTTTAATAGAATTTTATGAACTTAAGTAAAGTCGTGTCCAAATCCCACACAGCTTACACGCACTACACACACACACACACACACACACAGGCACACACTTGCAATACCAGATACACATGGAGAAGACTTTTTGACTTACGCAACAGCAAAAAGCTTTCAAAAAGGCTAAGACCGCCCGCCCATCGGAGCGGTTGGACTAGAGGGCGATTGTTACTACGAGTGCGAGTGCGTAAAATGGCAGTTAATCGTGACCACGTAGCAGGACTATTAATAAAAGCGTCTTTAGCCTCTACATTTTGTGGACATCTTGGCCTACGTCGCTGTTGCAGCCCAGAATCCAGCAACACCAACAACAAATAAACAAACAAAAAAAATATATACAGAGGAACCACGCAGACAACAACAACAACAACAATGACAAGCACAAAACCAAAAAAAGCGGCGCATCATTAATTTCACGCAGTACAACTGTCGAGCCTCAAAGGCACACACACACACGCACACACGGTAACCATCTCTGTGTATGTGTGTGTGTGTTGCAGAAAAATGGCAAAAGGCAAACTTAATAACAACAAAATGGCTTCTGCGGCCGCCTGGGCCAACTCACATTGCCATAGGCAGCAATTTTGTAATTTATCATTGCACAAATACACATACCGTACGCCTAGACAAATACACACATGCAGAGGCAGACCTGCACTTGTATGTGTGTATGTGTGTATGTGTGTGTGCATTGTTGTTGATTTGTTTGTTCTTTTGAAATGAACTTTAGAGCTAAAGCCAACCCGAATTGACTTAACTATTTAACCTGACCCTGGGACTTCAAAGTAATATTGTGCAGGATTACTTAAGGGAATGACTCTATTAATAATACCTGTATTAAAAATAGCTGCATTAATTACACACCTAATTAAAAAAATAATAATAATAATAGTTAAACAAAAATAAAATATTTTATATTATTTTATATAATTTCTGTACACTTCAATGCTAATTAACAAGTTAATATTTAAACAATAAATATGTTGGTTTATTTTTAATTTTTTTTTAATTTCTTTCATCACTCTATTTGCATTTCATTTCCCTTATTGACTCTTGCTTTCTATTTAAATATAATAGGGCCTGGGCCTATACAAACCTGTTAGCACACATGTGGGTTAACTGACTGAAGTGAACACAGCCGAAAATAGCAACAACTCAAGTTTGGAAAAAAGACAAAATGTAACACAATCGCCTGCAGCGTGCTACAAAGCAGATACAAAGAGCCGCAACAAAAACACAAACAAAACATTGCTTTGAAATTAAATAAATAACCGGCTCAAATGGCCTGGCAGGAGGCCGTTGGCAGTTGGCAATTGGTAAATGGCAAATGGCAAATAGTAGGTGGATGAGGGGACCGACACGTCAAAGTCAAGTCTTTCACACTCTCATGCCCACACTTCCTGTCAAGCCCTCAGTTTGTCCTCGGCTTTATAATGCATTGAAATGGAATCCCGTTCTAATTGACGTGTCTTTGGTCAAATGTAGCAATTTTCGGATTTCTTTCCTATCATGCCAGTGGGCCAGTGGGCATGCGACAGCAGCGCACGACTGCACTGCGAATAGATGGGTGTGTGTGTGTGTGTGCGTGTGTCTATTGGTGTGTGAGCTAACGGACCAAACTTTCCGTCGCACGTGCTTTGTTGCTCTCGAACGAGCACTTGAACCAACTTGGTCAAGTTGACCCGAATCGTTCTTGGCCAGCTCCACTCCATCCTCGACCGATTTGCCTTTGCTGCATTTCCTGGCCAGCGGCCCAAGCATTTCCTTACTTTCGTACTTCTCGTTTCTACACTTTTTTTTAGCTTTCCTATTTTATGGCTTTGATTTCCGCTGCGCTGCACTGTCGTTCTCTAATTAGCTGTTCAAGACAATTGCTGTAGCTTATAATTGTCCGTGCTGGACAAGTTAAGTCTCTTAACAGATGCTTAACACAGCTCGGCCAGCTGTCCTCGAGTGGGGCTTATGAAAAACCGCTTAGGCCGACCCGAAAATGGTCTTCATGCTGGGCATTAGCATATTGTTTTGTGTTGGCTGAACTTTAACTTGTGCCCAAAGCGAAATGTGTTGCATACTTTGCAATACTTATGCAACTTATGCAAATGCCATTATCGGCCAGCAGGAGGACACGTCCAGAGCGGTGAGCGGGATCAGAGCAGACGCCATGTTTAGCCACAAATAGAAATAAACATGACATCCCTCGCATTTTTTTTAGCACAGCTCAGCTCGGCTCTCAGCTTGCAAATGTAGATGGAGTTGAAGATGGGACAGAGACTGGGAGGGGACAGGGCAGGGACAGGGACATGGGCAAGAGCAGTGGCAAGGAGAGGGAGGTGGCATCATTTTGGGGCACGCATATGACGCGCTGACACCAAAAACGACAAGGACAACAAACATGCAGGGCATGTCCCGTAGAAAATATGAAAAATGTAAAACAAAAATCTGGCGAAAACTTTTCTAATTTAAAACTGCCAACAAAAAAAGAGAAGCTAAAGTAAAAATAAAATAAGAACAGCAAAACGCAGCTAAGGGCCAAGAATATGAGCGAGGCAGTTGTGCAAGACTATACGCAAATCTTTATAACATTTACTATACCCTGTTCATAATGTGTGCACAAAGAATGTCGCTGCTAAGCTCTTCTCTGCTTAAATTAGCATTGGCAAAAAATGGTATTCCAAAAATACACTGCGATACATTAAAAAAAATATATACACAAGAAAGGTAATATTAGCTGCGTAATTTAGTAGGTGGAAATGTTCATTCAAACTATGTTGAATCGAAACTCAAATTAATATTTCAGAGATCTCGCCGAAAACTTTTTAATGATAAATGATATGTGTGTGCGGAGTGCAAAGGGTATTTGGGGCATTAGATACAGCCATATGCTTGGTTATCAGTGTAGCTGACATCTGGAAGAGTATTCAGTCAAGAAACTCGCAAATGATGTCTGTTGACAGTGGAGAAGTGAAAGTCTTTTGTTTTTTCGCCCAAGCTGGGTGGCTGGATGGCTGGATGGCTGGATGGGGTGGCTTACTTGCTGCACATGTTGATGAATGCGAGGCCAAAGAGATTTCAACTTTCTAATTTAATGCGGCAGCCAGACGGATAACTTCAATGACAGAGACAAAGGCGACTGGCGAATGGTAAACGAAGCGAGAATTCAACCAACGAGCTCACAACCAAAATAAATTATATTGCAAATTACTGAGAAAGGCAACGTGGCGTATGCGTAATAACTGCCTGGCATCAAACTCGTACAACTTGTACTCTATTGTGCCCAAATGCTTTATATGCGTACTGAGTTTTTAATTGAATGTAAACAGAGAGAGAAACGGGTAGGAATACGTAGCAGACAATAGATATACGAATGCTTGTGCGATGGGGCGTATGCGCGATAATAATTGATAAGCTGAATAAAACTGAAATGAATGTGGCGGTCTGAAATAAATGACAACCACAAGGAATTCCACGTAAAGGTATTCAATCGAACATCAAAGGCGAATTCAATGAGCATACGCAAAATAAAATTCGAGAATTTCCAATTAATAAAATATTCAAATACACAACAAAATATATTTGCTTTATGTAAACAATGAAACTTCTTTAAAGTGTTTTTTTATTATTATTATTGTGTTTATTTAAAAATCGATTCGTTTATTCGTATGAATACTTGTGCTATGCTTTCCACTTGACAGATAATTCATGAACTGATTAATTTATTATCAATAATTTATTGTAATTATTTTAGATTTATAATATTGCTGCAATACTTGAAAACCCACATAATTGTTCGTTAGATTTCAAAGGTTTTGTGCTATTTTTTTCAATTTCAATTCAATTGGCTGCAAGTCCTTTTCTTTCTTGTTGACTTTATCAGATTACTTCAATTTTTTCGAATAGGACCCATGACTCGAGTTATGCTCCTTTTGAAGACCTTTCCTCACCTAATTAACCACCTGCCTGACAATGTCCGGCGGCAGCATGAAATTGCTTTTACGCAGGGGTATCTCGCTGTACAGCCGGTCGACGGGTGCGCGCGTGTCGTAGAGTGAGGGCGACTGGCAGATGATGGCGAATGTGCCGAACACACAAGAGCACGTAAACAGCCAGAGAAAGAAGCGATCCAATACCATGGAAAAGAATTTCCAGTCCTCGACAATCTGTGAAATGAAATAAATCAATCATTTACGCAATGGCAGCACTCAAAACTAGGTCAGAAGTAAAACTGAACTGTTATTCGATCAAGCAGTAGAATTTAGCTTTTTAATAATTTTGGGATTACTTCAGTGCTCGTAAAACATAGACTCGAGAGGGAGAAAGAAATACTCGTATTGCGCTGATAAATAAATTGATTTCAATTGAAGCCATAAAATCTCGTTTGCGTCTGTCTTTCAATAAACTTCAAGTGTAATAAAAATCTAAAGTTATGATTTAATATTTTACAATTCCATGTTGCACATTTGACAGCCTTGCCACTTATTCCCGTTCCCGCTCGACACTCCCCACTCCACACTCGGGATGGGTCTGTGCGGTGCTCAAAGCAAAGTTTTTTGGCAATAAACCATAATGGGAATGAGGGAGAATCGCAGGCGGATAATGTGCACGGAGGAAGGCAAAGTTCTGCCAGACGCCAAAAATATGACAGCCCAGCCTAAACAATAACAACAATAGCAGCCATAATAATTCGAACTCGAATAGCAATACGAATACGAATCCAAATACGTAAACGAATTCAACACTCGGCTTCAATCTGCGATGGTCCTTGGTGCTGCCCAATAAAAGTGGGCAAGGCAGAGTTGGGCCTTGCCATGCTAGAGTAAGTAAGAATGCTCTGTGCACTCGTCTACCCACCTCGTTATCCTTGTCGGCATCCTTGATATGCTGCGCAATAAATCTGACCGCACGAAATGCCTGCAGCACTTCGGGTGTTAAGTTGCGTGGTATCACATTGTCGGAATCTGTCAAGACCCGTGGCGAGCGCATGGAATCGCAAGAAATTGAAATAAAATATTGGAATAATAAATAAATGGAGATGCCTCCTGCCTGGCCCCCCAGGCGGATGGCAGCTCCAAATCTGCAATCGAATATGTGCACGCGCGTGTGTGTACGAGTGCGCCCGTGTGTCATATGTATATGCATAGAAAAATACAATATTATGGCCTAAGCGACAAGCAAGCCCCACAGGCAACTGTAGCACGCTCAACTTTAAGTCCAACATCAACAACGACGACAACAACAACAACAATCGAACTGAATTATGGCTGCCAGTTATTTTCATTCTCAGCTTCCTTATGGCCTAGCATTCCAGCACCTCAGTGAATTTTGCAACATTCACTGGCCACAGCAATCAATTGATGTCTAATTTAGCAATCGAATATCCTTTTCTGCGTTGACATAAGATGTTGAAAGGGATCATTTGGGTTTATTAGCGACAGGAAATTAACAACTTTTTTAAAACTACAAATAAATGAACAAAATAATAATAAAAAAAAAGATAAGTAATAAAATAAACAAAATTATTTAACAACTAATTTTCGTTGATAATAATTGAAAAGAATTTTAAAATTTAAGATAAATAATAAAAATAAATAATAAAATGAATATTAATGCTTTTAGTCAAATTTCTAAAGAATTAATAATAAATTATTCCAAATTTTGACAAAATTCTATAGAATGCAAATATTTCGATTGGATTATTAAGTCTGACTAAATAAAATATACATTTTATTTTTGCATGTAATTAATTTTATATTATATTGTGCAAGCATAAATATAATCAATTGAGTCCAAACTAAGATCTTTCAAATATATTTCTTATATATTTTCATTTTAAAATAATGATTTTCCCAGAAAAGTCATTCACATGAACTGCTTCAGATGATAAACATATAATTATGTTAAATAAATTTATTAAAATAAGTAAAAATAATACCGCATTTTCTTTAAGGAGATTTTTCAACTTGAAAATCATTTGCTGCCACTCCAGGCAACGTGCCTGGGCCTCGATTAGTTTTTACTGTGCGCTTAGGTCATATGGAATTCGTTCTTTTCACTTAAGCCGTTTTCACACATGGTTTGTTTTATTATCCCACACACCCACACACACATACTCACTCCATCCACATTCGTTTTGTGAACCACATAGGCGTGCTATATATACTCTTTTTTGTTTTCTTTTATTTTTTTTGTCATCAAAACATCACATCATCATCGTCATCGTCGCAGCCATCAGGAGTGTCCGGCGACAGCAAAGCGACGCTATCAGCCTTGAGAATGCCCGGCAGCATATTCGCTTCCATTTTATTGCATTATTTGCTTATTTTTATTTGATTTCAATTTCGACTTTTGGGTCGCGGCTAGCCGCGAGTGTTGCAAAAATATTTGTGTTTTTTATGGCCAGACAATTTCCCCCACACACAGTTATTCTGCCATGTTCTTTGCTAGCAATCATGCCCCTGCCCCCACGCTAACCCCTATCCCCAATCTCCGGCACATCCACTCAAATTCAAACTCACCCACTGAGTGCTGCATGCCATTATCGTAAGCGCCGTCCTGGCTGTCTTTAAACTCGCTGGGAAAATCGCTGATGCTGTCGCTGAAAAGAACACACACACAGAGAACACACACAGAGGCAGACGAAACAAAGGTTAGTAAAAGGCGAACTGTGCATACAGGACTGGCGTTCACCTACCGCACATCGATCTCGTTGGTGTAGCCATTGCTGGGCGTGGAGTCGTCGTAGTCGGGCAGAGTGTACTGAGTGCGTCGCATCATCATCAGCTTGGGCATGAGGTGCAGGAACAATTTGCGACACAGCGGCGACATGTTGTGCGTCGAAGGGGATCTGGTGTTAGTCAATTTGGTTGATTTTGATTAACGCATTGATTTGTGATTACAGCAGGAGACATAGAGATTAGTGGAGTGTGCAATTTAGCTGCAGATCTCTCAGTCGCAGCACTCACCTGAAGTGTATGTTGAGCACACAGACCGTTGTCCAAACGGACAGCGAGACGAGTATCATGGTAAAGAGCAGATACTTGCCCAGCAGGGGCACCGCCAACGATGTGGGCGGAATGATTTCGGCCAACAGCAAGAAGAACACGGTCAACGACACGAGTATTGAAATACATAACGTAACCTGTCAACGAAATGTTTACACAATTTCTCTCTCTCTGTCTCTCTCTCGCTCGCTCTCGCTCTCCCACTATCTGGCTCTTTCTGCCTCTTACAAAGCCTTCTGCTTTTGTAACAATAACGACCACAACAATGACAAAAATAAAATAAAGTAAATAACAAAACTCAGACGCAAACGAACACATGGACAAACGGTTTACCAATCATTATCAATTATAGCCAATTACATATAAATTACGTATACGCCGTGTGAAACAATAAGAGAACTTCAACATATATATTATTTTCATATCTTCTTCATTTTAAATGAAAATCATCATGTGTAAATTAATTACAACAATCTTTCTTCAAGGACAAACGTGAAATCAGGCAAAGCACTCAGCCAATCTCTTTTTACTCACGCACTCAATGGCTTCACTTCCCAACAAATGAGTCATACTGTAAACAATAACAATCAACACAACAAACAGCAAAGCGTTCTACTTATGCGTATGCCTGAGAGCTCCTAACAAATATTATACGTTTTCGTAATAGTGAAATTAAAACACGTAATCTTGTCCGAAGTTTTGTTTGGCTTATACAAATAAATTAAAAGTAATTATTGTAAATAAATTTAATTTGCATTTTCCAAAAATCTTAATATTTTCCACACAATTAGTTAGCAAAACTGCTTTGAAATAATATATTGATAGCTTGTACGTATACCCTGTTCTTCAAATTATATTATATAAACCATATAAGATAGTTGACCTATATGGATTACCTACTGGCTTACATTGATGCAAAATTGTGCTCTACTCTTTACTCTTTTAAGTTAAAATTGACCTTAAATGACTAAATCGAGGTATAGAAATTATGTCCACGCACAATAATAATAGAGCTTAAGATTTTTTTCCAAAAAGAGGATATCCCCACCCATTAAAATTTTATATCATATCATAATTTATTTTTGAGTATATATGTATGTATACATAGTCTTTAGCAAAACCTGAACTAATCTGTAAATATTGGGTGTTAATTAAAGGCCAAATTTATTTGAATATCTTCTTGATTTACCACAATAATTTAAAATTCGATTACTATTCCAATCGTAGTTGATCTGTTCATTTAATCCTCCACAAATATCAATATTTATTTATTTATTCTCCGAGTTTGCTTAAATTTATAAAATACTATTGCTACTTTATTACTCCAAGCAAATGATTGATTCAAACGAGACAAGTAACAAATATAACAACAACAACAAACATCACTCTTTACTGTGTGTGTATGTGGGTGCGTATAGGTGTATGTGTATCTGTGTTTATGTCGGTGCGTGTTACTGGGTGCGTTTAATATATGTATTTATGTAGGTGTTCGATGTCTTACGTGTCAGGTGAGTGAGGTGTGAGATATTTAATGCTGCGCTTTATTGTAGGACACCCGATATGCAGGAAAGAAAACTTTGGAGTGTTGGAAACTTTCGCATTTAAATTGAAATCAATTTGAAGTATATCGATTCAATTTAATCATTTTATGTATGCATTCGATGAAAATTACGTTATGAGATTTCACTACTCTGGAACAGCACAAATGATATTCGGCGCGAAATGAATGTGAATTTATAGCGCGTGAATATATGTGTGCTGCATGATTGAGGGCTGAATTGGTCAGCTTGGAGTGCCTGAAACTCTGTGACTTGAAGACGGATACAGTACTTAGTAAATGTATGTATATATTGCAATTGCTATTGGTTAGTTTATTCTATAGTTAATTAGATTGAAATGTAGAGCGATAGCAAAGAAGTAGATAGTTCTTGGGGAAATTATGTAAGTTGAGCTCTTATGGTATATTTTCAAACTTTTCGTTTCAGAATGCTTTCTCTTGGAGCCAATTGGTATTAGCGAAACAACTAAAGAGCTCAGCTTTCAACAGTTAGATGTAGCCGAAGTGGAAGTTGAGTAAATGATAGAATCTTGAAAGTGCATAGATAAACTTAAGGATATATGTATATTGAGAGATGTCATAAGTGTTCTTAGTAGATTTTTCGTAGATAGTTGTAGGTGAAATCAAATATATATTAACTAAATAAAACAGACGGTAAACTACCATAATTAATAGCTACAATAAATTTACTGAAAATAAACAACATGCCACATGCTGGGATCTCAATCAACGTCAAAGGTCAAGGTATATCTCTTGCAGTGGCCTATTTGCATACGTAATAGCTGTGCTCTTACCTTTTCGCCCGAGTCGCTTGGTAGGTAAAAGACCAAAACGGTAAGAAAAGTTAATGCCACGCAGGGCACAATCAAATTCACCGTATAAAACAACGTTTTGCGCCGCATGGTCAACTTGAACGTAATATCTGCAGAAGACGTCAAATTTACATATTACAATGGCCAGCCAGAAAAAAAGAATGAGAGAGAAAAAGAAAAGCAACAAGCTCTTGTGCAACTCACCTGAAAATGGCTCCAATGTGTCCGGGTAGTATTCCTCGTTTTTGGTGGCCGGCACCTCGAGTATGTCCCACTCCACAGACAAGTAGAATTCACTTAAATCGATGCCAACCTGCACGAGATTGCTGCCAGGCACCTGTACATGAAACACATACACAGTCAAACACACATACATATGTATACATATACTCAGCCAGCCAGGTGCCCAAGCCAGACTGGGCAATTTGTTAGCATAGCATGTATTTCCGCTACCCCAGCCCCGCTCCGACACAGCCTCCTCTGCTTGTACCCGCATAAATTGCATTTTGTGCATTGGAGCGCAAAGCAAATTTGCATCCTTCGGTTGTGGTCTAATCGAAATGCGGTTTGGCTTACCTGATCCAAATGTTTTAGATCCACTTGGGCGCCGTTGTAGGTCCATGAGCCGAATTTCATGAAGCAAATTTGCTCATCGTAAGGGAAATACTCAACGTTCATTTCACAGGATGATTTGTAAATAGCTGGCGGCTCCCAAAACACCTCCCCAGTGTACTTCAGCGTGGCCTTCGTCATGAGGGTGACCTAAAGAGGAAGTTAGATTGAGTTAGAATGGGTTTGCGAGCTGGTTCAATGTGGTAATACCTCGTAGTTGCCATCCCAGTTATTGTAGAGCACAATGTCGGGCACCCATATGTGCTCGGAGGGCACATACAACTGCTCTACGCCGCCGTATTCCTCCGGATCCCAACGCAACTTATAATCGAACCAGCGCTGAGAGCAAAACATTATTATGAATCTCTTCAAATTTAGTTTAGGTTAAGTGTTCCACCAACCTGCTTGACCCACAAATTGGTGGTCATCACCTGATTCTTCAGATTGACCTCAATTAGCTGGGACAGCTTGAGGCCCAGCCAGACGGTAAGTGTCTCCGTATTATTTACCACAGGCCGAATAAGTCGATTGTAATTGCTCAATAAATCATCATAGAGACGTTTCGTGTCCGGGTTCGCCTCGAAGCTAACAGGTGCTGCTCAGTAGAAAATGCCCAAACAAATGAAAATATCCCAAACATTGTTAGAAATTTCCCAAAACAAAGGAATGCGCAGACGCTGAGCTTTCGCTCTTGCTCTCCCTCTCTCTCTCTCTTGCTCTTCCTCTGGGCGCAGCCTCTTTGACAGCTGGCCAGCTCGGAGATACAGCATCCGATTCGTACATAGTATCGGAATTTCCATGGATTTTTCCAAACCGAACTTTACTCAACTTACGTGTTGTATTTGCCAATGGCAGCAGCAGGAAAAACCCCAACCAAAACCAACGACTCATTGTAACTCTCCTTTAATTGCAAAGCAATCCGGAGAGTATTGCACTTTATATATACTTTTCTTCTAGTAGTTTATTAAACCGTTTGCATTCTGCTATGCGTGTTGTATTTGATGTAAACCTTACTCGGCCAGGGTCCAATCGTAACTGAGCAAATCTATCCGAATGCTGCTGCCCAGACGCAGCTACTGTCAACCAAGATCTGCGCTGTCAAAAGGGCGCCAAATTTAAATTATTTAAACATTTGCCTTATTTAAGTGCGTTTAAAAATGTAAAAAATATATGCTATAAATATTTTGGATTTTTTATACAATTGAAAAATTAAAGTTATTCATACAACACCTTATTTTATGTATTGTTCTTATTTTATTAGTGGGCGTTATTTTTATATTATACTCCAACTATCCAACTTAGGCATAGTAGACTATACGTTTATTGTTTTGAATATACATAGATGATCATTTTATTTCAGGTAGTGTTACATTCTGTAGAACTTTTAATGTGGGTGTGATTACTGGGACGGTGAGTTCAAATAGTAACAAGTGTTAGTATTACTTATTTAGTAAGAAATAACCGGAATTATACAAATGTCATAAAAAAATTATCATATGAATTAGTATTAAAATAAGAGGAATGAGGATGACTTAAATGATTCCATAGTAATGGCAAGAATGAGTTATGATAAAAATAAATGAATTAATATTATTCATTTTTAGGTACTCAATAAATGACAATTATTTCACACAGAAAACCATATTGATCCTTAAAAGGAAAATAATTTGAGACAACTTTTATATTAGTCAGTCAGTGAAGTTCTCTAAAATTGAACTACGATCATAGTTAACTAATAGGGCTGGGCTACTGGGTTATCCAACCCTCAATTTTCAAGTTCCTAACCAGCTGACAGCGTCAACAAAAATAGTGGAGCAAATTGTCGGCGGTTGCCCAGCAACCACTGACAAAAACAAATAAATAACGAAAAGCGAAAGCGGTTGCAGCAAGCAATTGAATCAAGTCGAAAAATATATAAGAACTTTCAATTTCAGCTGTCGATGAGTCAGAAATGGGCTACAAAAACAATTTTCCGCAGGTGATGCGAGAGGCGGGCTTCAAGCTGCGCCAGTATCGCGATGGGCCACTGGACTGGCGTCAAATGGGTAAATATTGATAGTTGTTGTGCCTAAGGAATGACTAATGCTAATTTTAATGCTCGCCAGGCTCCTATGAGACGGAACGAATTCTGCGTGAGCAAAACTTGGAGGTCGTGGACGAAGCACTGAAGCATTTATCCGAGGCGCCGCTGGGCACCATGCTGGAGACGCACATACTCGATGGCGGCATAGCCAAGTACTTTGTCATGTCGCAATATGCGATCCAGTACCTGCTCTGCTGCCGCACATACCTGGACGAAACCGTGGACGAGCTGCGCGAGGCGCATGAAATATCGCAGCAGGAGATTGCGAAGCTGCGCAAATCTCTGAGCGAATCGAACAACGAGGTGGTGCAGCTGCACAAGAAGATCACCCAAATCGAGACCATACGCGAGGTGGTCTTTCCCTGTCATCTGTGCACCAAAAATTTCATCAGCAACGAGGCGCTGAACGTGCACATCGGACGCAAGCATCGCGTGGGTACGCCCTCCTCCAATTTGGCAGGTGGTGGGACTGTCCGGGAGAAGGAGAACGATATGCAGCTCATCAACACCATCAAAATGGAGCTGGAAATCAAGCAGTTGAAGGAGCGTCTGAATGCCGCCGAGCGCAATATAAAGGAGCGAAGTGGGCAGCCACTTCAGGTGCAGCTTCAGGATCAGACAACATCAACGGTGAGCATGCGCCACGTGGGCATACAAAGCAATTTGGGAGAATACAAGGAAAAGGATGAGGTCAGCAGCGAGGCGGCTGAGAGTGAGGCGAGCGAACGTAAGAAGCAGCTTCACGGCCTGGCCGAACGCCTCAGCAGTTTTGAAGTTTGGCAGGCACAGCTAAAGCAGAGCAACGAAGACTTCATCCGGGGCATCAACCAGAAGCTAGAGGACCTAACCTTAGCTCTGGAGCAGACCAAACGAAACGCAGAGTCCAAGGCTGCTGCACCAGCTACTGCCGAGGAGCGCGTGGCCACACCTTGCCTTGAGGATTTGGAGCGCATACTCACCGAAAAAGTGGCTGAAATCGGAAAGGTCAGCGCCAATAAGCTGGAGGAGGTAGTGCACCAACTGGAAACGGGCTACAAGGAAAAACTAGAAGCACTGGAACGGGATCTAAAACGGCTCAGCCTGCGTAAGCAAAACGTTGCCGATGTGCAACAAACAGCATCCGCATCCAAGATACCCAAGCCTCTGCCCAAAAAGGAGGAAAGCATGGAGCGCATCAAGCGTCTGGTGGAGACGGAGTTCCTGAAAGCCAAACGCGATGATGACACCTATTCCATTGAAGAGCCGCCACCACAGCAGGAACAACAGGCACAAAAGCAAGAGCAGGCCAGTGGCAACAGCTCGACCAATCATCCGACTTATACGAAGCCAGCGCCGGCATCAGCCCCCGTTAGAGATGAACCAAAGCCGAAAGCCGCCATAAAGCAGTCAGAGCAGGCGGAAGCCACGGATATTAGCGAAAGCCTTAGCGGCGAGGAGAGCGTCAGCGATGAAGGTAGTGAAGTCTTGACCTCTGAGCCGGAACGACAGGTATTCATGTCGCCAAAAATCAAATCCGTCCTAAAGAATAGGTAAGTAAGCAAATATACTCAACAGGAAGTGATCAAAAAAGCTTCGAATGTTTTTAGACTCCCACCAAAGCCATTGACACGCAAAGATGCGCGCAAATTGATCAACCAAAGACTGAATCCGCATGGCTTCAATATGAAGTCAAAGGCCATCTCCAACACATCTGCCAAACGTGTGAGTGCTGAGCTAGCGCAGCAAAGGGCCAGACTGAAATTGGTAAGGAATTTAGAACTAAATACATATATTTACTTAAACATATGTATATGTACATACATACATACATACATACTTAAACGTCGCCATGATAATAATAATGCTATATGCATTTTCAATTATTTTCTTACAGGACTACCCGAATTTCTATACAACACGCAATCGCATACGAAAATTCGTGGAGAATCTTTGCTCTGTCAAGATGCCGGAACGTGCTCAGATTTTGTTAAACAATAAGACACCTTTGCAGCCAATGGAGGTGCCGAAGCGTAGAAATCCTTTGCTAACAACCACGGACGACGATGACGATCTTAATGAAGGTTCTGATGTATCATCGGCTTCACAGGAGATGGCCGATGAGAACGTTGATAATGCATCAACAAGTTCCAAGGCGCACCACCCAAATTTCAAAGCCCAATTGGAACAACTGCTGGCTAAACCGGCGGCTCATGTGGTTTCCAAGCCCAAGATGGTGCAGATACAACAAGCAAAGCCTGTGCCGCTGCCGCGGAAGCGAGTTATGTTTAATACGGGGAGCAGCAGGCGGAGCAGTGAAGATAACGCCGAATAAATTGAATACAAACAAAATTAAACGTTATCTTTTTTAATAAAATGATGCTGCCATACACCCGCAATTTGCGGTATGGCAGCACTATACAGGTGGCCATCAGCCCATGATATATCGATATTTGACCATACAATCGATATGCGTCCACGGCGAATTTAGATTGCGATGCGGCGAAGTGTGGTTGCGCGAAAAAATTTCTTGACGTCGCAAAAATCTACAATTGCTTGCAATAAATGCTTTAAAACGCAGTCCAACAATACGCAAACCAGTGACAAACGCTGAACGTACATGGCGTTACAGCTAAAACATTAAAAATCCACACCCGCAGCTCAACGCAGCGCTGTATAAAGTGTATTACCTGACGACAACTACACAAACACTCCTACACACAGATATATTATACACACACACACACGCACATACACATATATACAGAAGTGGCCCTCCGCCCCCTGTTGTCCGCGCACACATCGATGAAATAACATACATAACGTATACCGAAAATACATAAGCTTAAGCTAGAACAACGGAGCCAGCAGTAGCAATCAGAGCGGACGCAGGTAAACAGATAAGAAAACAGACGGAGACACAGAGAAATAGGCGCAGGTGTTAGCAGAAGCAGCAGCAGCAACATCATCAACAACAACAATATCAGGAGCAGTTACAGTGTAAAACATGTCCGAAATCATCATGAACATTGACAGCATTATCTCGCGTCTGTTGGAAGGTAAATAAACTTAATACACTTTGCACCTCAGATCACCTATATGCAAATTTGTTTTTCTCCAGTACGTGGTGCCCGTCCAGGCAAAAATGTGCAATTATCGGAGAGTGAAATACGGAACTTGTGCTTAAAGTCGCGTGAAATATTCCTATCGCAACCGATACTACTGGAACTGGAGGCTCCGCTAAAAATATGCGGCGATATACACGGACAATATTACGATCTGTTGCGTCTGTTCGAATACGGCGGTTTCCCGCCAGAATCAAACTATCTATTCCTTGGCGACTATGTGGACCGTGGCAAGCAATCCCTGGAGACGATTTGTCTTCTATTGGCCTACAAAATAAAATATTCAGAGAATTTCTTTTTGCTGCGCGGAAATCACGAATGCGCAAGCATCAATCGCATCTACGGGTAAGTGAAGATAAATGAATAAATATATGTATATAAATAAGCTAATATCTAGATCATCTATAAAATGTAGAGTCAGTCATGTATTTGCATTAATATGTGATATTGAATATTGCAATTCTTGTGAAAACTGCATATTGAATGTTGTTATTGGAATGAAGAAGCTAAAACTGCCATCGATTAATGTTATTGGAATCCAAGTGAAAACGTTGTTGCTAGACGTTCTTATTGGATTACACATTGCGCACACAAAGAATTCGTGTTTCATACGAAGTTTGTCATTTAAATTTCAAGAAACTTGAAATCAATTTTAATTGAAAATCGTAAATCTAGAAAGCTTACTTTAACCACCTTATTCTCGATACTTAATTGTCCAATTGCGTACAGGCGACAGCTATTCTCATGTAGATACGTACATTGTGATATAATCTAAGTGGAAATGGCCTTTCGTGAGAAACGCTCGAGCGTTTATCACGCATTATTTGTTTAAATGTCATGTGTGTGCCTGATATTACTTTTTACTGATTTATCTCGCCCGTTGACAGGTTCTACGATGAATGCAAGCGACGCTATACCATAAAGCTGTGGAAAACATTCACAGATTGCTTCAACTGTCTGCCCGTGGCTGCGATTGTTGATGAGAAAATCTTTTGCTGTCACGGCGGCCTGAGTCCCGATTTGTCCTCGATGGAACAAATACGGCGCATTATGCGACCCACGGATGTGCCCGATCAGGGTCTGTTATGCGATCTCTTGTGGTCTGATCCCGACAAAGATACCATGGGCTGGGGCGAAAACGATCGTGGCGTAAGCTTCACATTTGGAGCAGAGGTAATTATAGAGCTACGTGTACTAATTGGATTATAAACTAATTTTAATTTCTTTTTACGGTTGTCTTTTTAAGGTTGTCGGCAAATTTCTACAAAAGCACGAATTCGATCTTATATGTCGTGCACATCAGGTTGTCGAGGATGGCTATGAGTTCTTTGCCAAGCGCCAGCTGGTTACGCTCTTTTCGGCGCCCAACTATTGCGGTGAATTCGACAATGCGGGTGAGTGATCACGATATTTGTATATATGTATGTATATACAAATATACATATTTATACAACTCATGCATACATGTGTATAGTGTATGTGTATACTCATCGATCCCGGACTTTAAACAACAAACGACGTGGGTGTTATCTCATTGTAAGAGAATTGTTAATGCGAGCAAATACTGTTGTCATATACTGTATAATTTGTGTAGATAATTTTTAGATTAGCACAGATTTTGAAGATAACCTTGCGGGCAAAGCACAGCAATTACGAAGTTAAGTAAATAAAAAGGCTCAGAGTTCAGTGTTGAGATAGAGGCAGTTTGGCGGAAAACTCAGCGAATAATGCAATTATAGAAAATAGAAAATAAATGTAAACAGTGCGCGCTCAAATATGAAAATTTACATGTGAAAATGTTGGCATGCGTCAGATGTCTGTTTTGATAAGGAATCATATTTTCTTAAGGCTTAAGGTATATGACCCTATGGTCTCTATATATTTTATATATGTTTGCATATGATATCAAATCTTTGAGCTGCCACATGTTAGTCTCATAATGCATTTTTAGAAAGCTTCATAAAAGAAATTCCATGCGGCACTATTATTCAAAATTGATCAGCCATGAAGGGGGCAATCGCAAAAATTTTCCACTATATGAAAACAGACCTGTATCATTTGATCGCTGTCATCGTACATAAACAATGTCTTTAGTGGGAATCGCACGCTCAGATATCAGTAAACTATGATGTGGCGGTTTACGTTTGTTTAGACAATTAGTGCAAACAGACAACAGAAATTGTGATTGGCACAGTCAATACAAACAGAAAAACAGATTATAGGCCTGCGTCTCCAGTTACAGTATGTATATTTAAGAATAATATGATATCGTATTTATATGTGTTTTTATTCTGTTTACTTCAAAGGTGCCATGATGTCCGTGGATGACACATTAATGTGCTCCTTTCAGATTCTGAAACCCGCCGACAAGCGACGATTTGTTTATCCAAACTTTGGTAGCTCAGGGCGTCCGTTAACACCGCCACGCGGCGCAAACAATAAGAATAAGAAAAAATAAGCGGCAAACAAAAAACAGCAACAATAATTTACAACAAAGCACACACAAAATCAATTCAATGCGCAGAAATGTTTGTTTTTAATCGAATATGTGTAATCGAATCGTGAGCAACGTTTTTATTAAGGATATGAAACTTAGCCTATTATCATTTGAAAAGCGCAAAAGCGAAATACTAAAAAGCCAATTCATACATACACACACACATACATACACATACACAAATTGAGACACTTTAGTTCAAACTACTTGCAGTGTTAAACACTGCATAAGCAAGAATATCTCTTAATGTATTAATTTTATTTTGTTATAGTTTTTTCCTTTGCGCAATGCAAACACCAACACAAACACATACAGACATACACGCACACACACATACATGCAGAAAGCTAGATCAATAGTAGGTACGAAAAGTGAACGCACACTCCAATTATATTTTTTTGCATTTTCAAATATCGCACAGCATTTGTTTTTTTTTTCGGTTCTTTGCATAGCACAACAGCCAGGGAAGGGATTATCCCCTTTGAGTATATATTAATGTTTTTAATATAGCGAATGGTAAAATGTTATTTTTATAATATTATTTGTGAATTTTAATCAATGCTTTTGATATGTGTGTGAGTTGAATGCATATGCCCTGTATAAGTATGTACGTATTCTTAGCGCGTTTATATATATATTTTTTTAACTATTATTCATCATTAAAACTCTACTACATGTTTACTTAGTTTTAAAGCAAATGCAAATTTAGCTCGAAGGTACATAAGTTTGAATTGTTTAAACCAAAAATATTGAAATAAACAAAAAGTTGTGTATATTTTTAAATTGTATGCGTTGACGATTAAATATAGAGTATGTGTAACACAAAGCTGCATATGATCGAAAATTAAAAAAAAAAAAAACAAAAGGAAATCCACAACAAAATATAAAAATTAAAAAGAAAGTAAAACAAAACAATAAATATAATTAATTCCAAAATGAAATCAATTGCAAACATATTTGTTTAACAAGATATACATAAACAATGAAATGCTTAATAAGGCAAGAAACAAATACAAAACACATAGAATTAAAAAAAGGTTAAACAGCGCTTAAAAAAGCAGCATACTTTTGAGTGGCACTATGTGCCCTCTGCTGACGTCATCGACGCAGTAGATAAGGTTACAAACAACAACTACAAATTACACAAAAATAAAGAAAATAAAAACAATATATACGTATACAAATATATATATAATGAACCATGAAATTGTAAAACATCTGAGACGTTCACACACACATATATATATTATATATATATATACATACACACAGATGCATGCACTGTGTAGATACATTCGTGTGTGTGTGTGTGTGCGTGTGTGTTCTATTTGTATTTGCGACAAGAGTCGGTACATTCTACTGCAAAAAGGCCGCCACATTCAAGTATTATACTTATTATGCATGTACGTACGTCCCGACGTGAATAGTCCCCAAAAAGGTTTCGTTCGTATGATCCCCCCGCCCCACAAACAAACTAACAAAGAATGAATATTAAAAAAAAAAAAAAAAAAAACAAATACAACCCGAGTTTTCAACTTGAATGTCCAGCTGCAGCCTAAACCCTTACCGAATTCACTCTAGTACTCTGTTTAATGTTGTATTGAATTCTACGTGCATAATTATATGTAAACAAAAGCAAAAACAAAACAAAAAAAAACTTATTTAATATTATAGTTGATATTGGCTGTTTTAAAAACAAACAAAAAAATTTAAAGAGAAAATCAAGAAATTATAATGTAATATCAAAACTTGCGTCAAACAGCTATATATAAATATATAAAAAAAAAATCTCTCGGAATGGAAAAAGGAATAAAAACTTGTAATTTTTTGAAAATTTGAAAAGACAACTAAGAAAAACCAAAACGCATTCAAAGCTGAAAAATGGCAAAAGCAAAAAAAAAAAAAAAAAATACAAAATAAAATAAAATCAACATGAAGCACTTGTAACAAAATAGCACTGTTTTATTAAAATGAAAAATGAAATACATATAGCAATAAAAAATTATTGGCACCACGTAGTTTTAACTGAAAGTCGAGTTAGCTGTGAATATGAGGTATATAATATGGCGTTTAATTAATTAATCAGGTCATTGCTAGACTCTTGATGATATAATGTAAACTTTTATATTTATTATTATTTGAGATCTACTCTCTGGAATACTTTAAGCGGTTTTCTTCTGGCATAGTTAGGAGCCCAACTGCTATTTTCCTACTATGTAATACTATTTTAATCTACGCGATTATATTTGAGGGCGCAGCTTTTCTCCAAGGGCGCGCACATTGCTCCCGAGCCTCGGCCGGTGGCCTGCTCCTCGCGTAGGCGCAGCTGCAGCAGCTTTTGACGCAGCGCATAGGGCGTGGTACACGTTGCAGTTGTTGTTGTTGCCATCATGTTCTGTTGCCTGCACTCATTTGCTTTGTTCTTCTCCCGCTTGGCATTGTGGGCCACGCCCAGTTTGTCATAGGCCTGCTGTAGACGCAACTCATCCTGCCGCTGGTCACTGAAGCACTCGCTGGCATTGAGTAGCCGGAACTGCTGTAGTTGTAGCAGGCGCTGCAGTTCAGTATTTTCGCTCGTTGTGCAGTTGGGCGTTGGCGAGGGAGTCGCAGACATACTACTATGAACCTGACCCTGACCTTCGGTTGCCACGCGGCTAACGGCGCAGGCGCGTTGCTCATAGAGACGTCGATTGTAGGTGTGCTCACAGTGGGTATTATTGGTGTTGTTGTGACCGCTGCTGGTGTTGCCTTGGTGATCTCCGGTGTCCCAGCTCAGCACCTTGACGCGATTCTCGCGCTGCTTTTGCTGTGGAGCACAGCCGCAACTGCTGCACCAGCTGGAGCAATGACTCAGCGTGGTTGCTGCCGAATTCCGTCTGCTGAAGTTACGCGCGAGCTCGCTCTTGGAATGACCCAAGCCCAGCGGTTCCACGGTTCTCTTCAGGCTGGGCCGCTTTACGAACTGCGTGGGATATGCGCTCTGCCTGGACGATGACGTCACCGATAAGCGATCGCTGCGCAGTGGCTGGCGCTGCTGCAGTTTGTCGACGTGGCGCGTCGGCTTTAAGATGCTGCTTCCACCACTGTAGCCACAATAGCATCTCTTCATGACGATGCCGCGCCGTAACACGTATTCGTTAACAATGCCCTGATGACCAAAAATTGTCTGTCTACTCAAAGAATGTTCAGCTACGACTGCTCTGCGTTTGGGGCAACCGGTTTGCACGCACAACTAACGCCCAGACACTAGCTGTAGCGGCGGCGGCAGCGACCTGCATTCCCGTTAGCTGGCTCAACTGCCGGCTCACAGCATTTGTTTATGTTTGAACAACAATTGCGCCAGTTTCCATAGACACATGCCGAACGACCGGCCGGAGGTCCTCGGGCAGTTTTTACTTTTTTGGCTTGAAACAAATGACTTAGGCAACAAACTTCAATTATGGTTTTTAGTGGTCTCTTGCGCAAGCGATTAGAACTAATTGGCTAAGCTCCATCGCCATGGGAACTGACTGGCATTTGAAGTGTCGAAATAAAACGGGAATCTAATGCTGTAGGTTTTCGGCTAAATCCATACATTATTTTTAACTGGTTTCTACATATGTAGCTAGGAAAAATATGCAAACTGCGCAATAAAGTAATATTAATTAAATGAAGTTAATGGGGGGGTTTTTTTATATAATAATTTATAGCTATGCTAATATTATTCTATTCATTTAATTATTCGTAATAGTTGTCAAATTAAAGTCCCAGAATGTTTAATGAACTAAATGTACTTTCAACCCGACTGCAGAGTTTTAGACTTTATATGAAAAGAAATACCTCTTCTATTCTACTATACATATGTGTTTATAAAATATGACCAGTATATATTTGATTTTCATGATACAATACAAAAGACCTTTGTTTTTTAAAAACCCTATGGCCTTTCGATGCTCGTAAGCGGCTTTAATCAAACATATAACTAACATATGTTTACTACCGGCTACCCTGTAATAACACCCCAATTAAGACGTAACTCAACCTGTGCGTACCGCATTGCGTATATATACATATACATATATGTTAGTTCAATGAACCACCCCACGGCATTGGAAAGGGCATCAGAGGGTTGATGCATCGCCGGACAACGTTCGACACTCGTTTCCACCGCATTTAACTGCAACGAGAGCGAAGTCGGCTCTGCAGCAACTTCACGATCACGAATGGACATGGATATTGGTTGCATTTTCCAAAGCGGTCAGGCGGAAAGCTAAAGTTGTTACACACACAATATACATACATACATACGCACATACATACATACATATTAACATATATGCAGGTTTATGGGCTAAAGCTCGGCTTCGACATGAATTTTTTTTTTTTTTTGTATATTTCGTATGCTTAGGAAGAAAGCTTTTGCCGAAGCTCGGTATATAACTCAGCCGCTTGAAGCATCCCGCCTCCATTGCGTTGTGATAAGTCGTCGTGAAGAGCAGAACCACTCAAAACAAAGCCCGCAGCAGAAGCAACAAACAACAGTCGAAAGATTTTTCGTGCGCTTGTGCGTGTGTGTTTGTGTTTGTGTTTGAGTGTCGGCGTCTGTGCGTGCTGAAATTAAAATCTTCAATTGGGCACAGTCCATATTGGCAATAGATTTCGCATATAGCATCCGATTTCGAGCGTCAACATGTCAAAACAATCGTCACTTATATTGCTGCTGCTAATCGCTCTGGTTGCGCAGGAGACCGCTAAATGTGTAACGGTCGCGCAAGATTTGCGTAAGTAATTTTATTGCAGCTCTCACAGCAGCAGCAAGTGCAAATTGTTCGCAGCTTGTGATTTCGCTAGCTATGTTTTTATTATTTACATATTAAGCATTTGCTTCGGTTGCTTTTGGCTGTGGCCTCTGGGCCACCAACGCTGTTTATGGCCAAAACGTGATCAATATTGTTTATAGGTGGTAAGTTTATTTGTGGCAACATTTTGGCTAACGGCCCGAAGGTCGCTGTAATATTTTCTAATGGCTCGCTATGGGAGGACAAGCTGAGCTTCCAAACTCAGAGAGCCAACGACTTACAGTGCACTACAACTGCATCGATAAGCGCCAGTGGAAATGTTATGTAATCGAAACTGGTTAGCATATCGATATCAGCAAACGGGTTTGCACTCAGTCAGTGGACCACTTCCGCTTGCGATGACACATATTTTCCAAAATGATTATGCACAAGCAGTGGTGGTGGCTATGGCTATGTTGCCGTAGGTCATGAGTGGCTTTGTTATTTAGCCACATCTCGAAGATAAATACATTGCCTTGCGCTGCGACTTGACCTTGAGACCCACGAATAGCAGTCTCATTTGTTATTTTGTTGCTTCGGTTAAGGCTTTGTGTGGAACTCGTTTTGTGGCCAACGAACTCTAGCTGAAGTACTGATCTTCGATTTAATGCTGGTACAATTACATATTTTGGCGCGGGACTTCCTCAAGTTATTTTCAATGTCATGAGCAAACCTATTAATTTTAATATGTATTTATGTATTTTATATTTATTTATTTTTATTATAGCCGAAAACTTCCTGAAATGTAAGCGCGATGCAAACTTCGACAAGTGCCTTGTGGATGCTGTGAATCACGCGATTCAATTGCTCAAAAGTGGTAAGTATTAATTCCTAACAGAAAATTCATTACAGTACAATGAAACTATTTTTATGCTACTTGGATACTTAATTAATTAAACTATGTACAGGCAACAAAGAATTCGGCATTCCGCCACTAGAGCCGCTGTCCGTGAAGAAACTTGTTATAGACGCCGGTAACGCACCCATAAATCTTCGTCAAACCTTGAAAAATGTGAAGGTGCATGATATGATTTCGACTAGCAAGATTCAAAGATATAGGTAATTAACGGAATCGTGATTAAATTCCAACATGCTGTATTCTTCTTCATCTCTCTCTCTCTCTGCAGAACCGATTTGGATAAGCATTTAATAATCTGTGATAGCAAAACAGACCGCATTGAAATGATAGGTGATTACGAAATGTCTGGTCGCATTTTGTTACTGCCTATTACAGGGCATGGCAAGTCCAACATAACCCTTGTGAATACAAAGATCGAACATCGTCTGATTGGAGAACCCTTCGAAAAGGATGGTGTGAAATATATGCGACTTAAGGAGTACCGCGTTAACATGGAACCCAAACGTGTTTACCTACAATTTGAGAACCTTTTCAATGATAAAACTCTGTCTGAAGGCATGAATCGTTTTCTAAACGAGAACTGGGAGACGGTATTCAATGAACTGAAGGTTGGCTACTCCAAAAGTTTTGGTCTGGTTTTTAAAGAGCTATCAAACAAAATTTTCGAAAAAGTTCCATTCGATCATATATTTTTAAGTTAATACTAATATTCGATGGGGAAGTATGTATGTAAGTTATGTATTTTATGAATTAGTGAATAAATTATAGAAAACGGTTTATTGATTTCGAAATTTATTGTTTGAATTAATGGCGGTAAGTTTCGATAGGATTTTTCTTATAAGAATGTCAAGAGCTATCGATGACAAAGAATATAAATATTTATTTGTTTTTAAAATTAATTAAGGGATTATAGGCAAGTAATTTAAAATATTAATTGAACGATTTTATTCTCCTACAGATCTTCTTTTGATATGGACTCACTTTAAAAATTCGAAGTTACAAAATTTATTGGCGCCTCTTTTTAATCGATATATTTAAGAAATCAGTGTAGTTCGATGAATAGGTCGCTTTGCCATAACTAATATTGCAGTTTTGGCACTTTCTAAGCGCAAAAATAGATCTATTTGTTTAAACAATTATATCTTTATTTGTGCAAAGTGCACAAGTCGGCGTTTCACCTGCCTGCATGGCAGAAAAAATGACCAGCATGGATGCCACAGTGCCGGAGGCCAAATATCAAAAACTGGCGAGTGAATACTCAAAGGTAACCAGCAACAGTTTACGCCCCATTCGCAAGCGCTTTAATCTAATTTAATCCACATCCGCCCATGCTCAAAGCTGCGTGCCCAAGCGCAAGTATTGAAGAAGGCTGTGTTAGACGAGCAGGCAAAGGAGGCAAGTCTTCGTGAGCAACTGCAACAGAACGCCACAGCGCTGAGGCGAACAGAGCAAGAAGTCGACTCACTAGGATTTCGCAACAAGCAGTTAGAGTCGCGTGTCTCCCAACTGCAGCAGGAACTAACAGTGTATGAGCAGGCTCGGAAGAAAAAGGAGACAAACAAACGCGGGCTTTTAGGGGGCAGCAAACATGAACCTCCCAGTGAGGCGCCAAACGTAAATGCAGCACAGGAAGCTCTTATCTTCGAGGAGCTTCAAAAGAAAATAATGGAAAACGCACAGCTGACGTCATTGGTAAACGAAGACAGCATTATTCCCAAAATACATACGTCATTCATGTATATATAAACAAATTCTCACTCGCAGATAGATGACAAGCAACGCGACTTGTTGCTGCACACGGAACGCATATCGGAACTGGAACAGAAGCTAGAGAAGCGAATTGGCGACCAAAATGAATTGGAGAAGCGGTTGCGCAAAGAAGTCGAATCGCTGCAGCTGAGGAACTGTGAGCTCGAAACAAAACTGGTCGACGCCGCGAGCATGGCAAGTGCTTAACAAAGAACTTCCTAATGAAATATTAACTTCCTAATTATTCGTACAGCTTGGCAGTGAAGACGCTTTGAGTGCCACTGGCAGCGACAGTACGCCGCTCCACAATCAACAGCAGCACCAGCTTAACACCAATATAGCCTTAACACTAACTGCCGAAGAACGCATCGCGCTACTCGAAAAGGAGTCGGCCCATTGGCGAGCCCAGTACGAGGTGTCTAAACTTAACCAGAGCTTAAACTCGAGCTCGAGTACCAACTCGAACACAAATGTGGATCTCAGCAAAACGTTGATGGATGCCACCAGTATTTGCAGCTGTAGTACGGCTGCAGCCGGCATCACCGTTAAGCCATGCTGCTTAGAGAACAAAAGCGGCCAGCGCGCGCGCGATTCGGTGCAGGAACCGCAAGAGCCGCCCACCAAAGAGCAGCTTATATATAGTGCATTTAGCAAAAAATATGAAGAGCTATTACGTCTCAAAGCGCTGGCCGAGTCGCGTGTACGGTCATTTGAGCAAGAGATATTGCATTTGCAGATCTGCCTTGAAAATGCCACGCAAGAACTGAAAGCCAAGGACGATCAACTGTCCAGCGTGGGAAGTGCCCTGCAAATGCTCGAGGAGGAGTTGGTAATCCAAATACGATTCACATGCAATAAACAAATTCTAGTAACTGACTATTCTTACAGTCCACGACTCGGTATAACTACGAGGAGCAAATCAGCGTACTGACAGAGCAAGTGATAAGCTTAAGCGAACAGTTGGCTGCGTGCAAATGAATTTCGGCTTGTCGCTTTGCTTTATATTACATGTAAATTATATAAAAGGGCCCGGCCACTGTCCAAATGACTAGATACGGCCTGCGTTCTAAGCTCTGCCCTGTTTGTAAGCTGGTTGCTTATTGCATAAACGAAGTTTTCATGCAATCAGGAATCAACAGAGACGGAGTTAATAAGCAAAACTTGACATTAAGAAAAAGCCTTTAAAAAGCAATTCATTTCGATAGGTCAACGACTTACCTAATACGTAAGCCAAATACCCAAAAACCAACTAACTGCTATGGGACAGCATACCATATTTTTTTAAATTTACAATCGATGCAGTGTGTATATAGCTGAACAAATAAATTTATATCTGTGTGTTTAAATATTTCTCTAAGGTTTAACAATCAAAGTACATTATTTAACTATTAACTACAATTTAATCGAGAACGATGAGCCACATGAGCAGCCTTGTTCTGCGAGCGGATTGGCAATCATCCTAAATCCAGCTCGAATTAGCTCACTATGATAATCCACGGTGGCGCCTGTACAATAGTCCAGGGACACTGTGTCAATTACTACCTTAGCTTTGTCCTCGCCAAATTGTAAATCATCTTCGTTAAGCTTGGTGTCCAAATCGAATTTGTACTGAAATCCAGAGCAGCCTCCACCCTCAACTGTGATGCGCAAAAAGCTGCCATCGGTACAGATCTCACGCAAACGTTTCAAGCAATTTTCGCTCACCAACAATTGCTGTTGTGGTGTTGTATTTGTTGCAGGCGCACTGGCAGTTGCGTCTTTGGCGGCTAGGCGCATCGAAATTGGACTCCCATTGAGTAGAGTTCTGGAAGTAAATCCATTAATTGTATAGTTATAGTTTCCTGATCACTATTTATACCTTAGCAGAACAGGTTTCGCCACCTGACGCAACATGAAAGCCATTTTAATAATGTGATTTCCAAATATAAATCAATTTGAATGTCTACAATCTCATAACCAAAACAAAAGTGACAACAGCTGGATTTTCTTTAATTATATCGATGATGCGTCGATATATTTATAGCTGCACTATCGATAGACTCTCAAATACATCACTGCATCTGCGCTTGCGCTTCTGTTTGTTCGCTTGTGGAATTTTGTACGTTGACTTTTGATTTTATAGTCAAAAAGTGTTTTTGTTAAGTGTTAGTAAATGTTTCAAGTATTTAGTAGAAATTTTATTTGACAATGACTATGCAGATGACAGTAAGCAGTAAGCTTGATACAAATTGCAAGCAACGGTATAGATTTGCTGACCCTGAACGCGTTAAAAAAGATCTCGAAAACGAGCGTCGCATAACTCGTTTACAACAGGTAAGACGCAGTTACGTTTCTTCATTGTATGTATTTACATTATAATATTACGAAATTGAAGGTACGCGAGAAATCCAGCACCTTGGCTCGCCACATACGCCAAGAAGTGGCGACGGAACAAGCGCGTCAATTAAGAGCACTGGAACAAGTGAAACAGCAAGAGTTAGATACATGGCGAGAGCATGTTGTGGCCAAAAAATGTCAGGACTACCGTACTTCCATGTTTCAGGTAGGGGCCGCCCATCGAGCCGCCCAGGTTGAAACCGAAAACGCCGAAAGGCAAAAGCAACTGCGAGCCGAAAAGATACAACAATGTCGCCAACTCGCAGCAAAGCGTGTAACTCAGCACAAACCAGCAAATGTTCTGCGCTCGACAGCGACCCGGGGCCTTAATGTGGCGGGACGCGCCACTGCAGGCACACAAACACCAGTACAAGTAGACAGACAAAGAGAAACCGGTGGCAAAGAGAACAGATTGTGCAATAATGAAGCCTGCAAAGGAGGAAAAAGACATCATTCGTGCAAAGCCAGGCATGATAAAAGACGTTCGTCAAGTAACGATCGTAATGAGAGAAATAAGGAGGAAGAAATATTCCAAATAACATCCGATAGCAACAGCAGCGATGATGAAGAATCTCAACCAGCTGCCAATGATGCGAGCAGTGGCTCAAGACAGCTGCAAAAGACACCACCAGTTATTTTAGATGTGGATGCCGAAAGTGAGGATTCACTGGAGATCTGCACCCACAATGGAATTGAAATAAACGATCTGTATATGCAGAGCAATCGCAAATTTAGTCGCGTTGTTCGCCCCACTCCTGGCGAAACGTCAGGACTGCAGCCACCACCAGCATCGACCGGTGCTGCAGTGCCTGGTCGACCACGCTTCACTCAAATCAGCGACTTGGTGCGGCGTACAAGTACAAACTTGGAGGGCGCACAGAAACAAGCAGCTGAAGAGGGAGAAGATCGCCCAAAAAGTCCTTCGAGATCGTCATCACGGTCTCCTAGAAAGCCAACAAAAGAAGCTTCTCAAGCTGGCTCGTCTAATGCTTCGCCTACTCGAACAGCGAAGGAGCCTAATCAAAAATCTAAGATGTTACCACCAGACAATCCTCAGCAGATACCAAGGCGTTCCTCGCTGCGAACCAATAAGCCGCACGTTCCTTCCGTTAAGGTCGTAGATGCAGGATTAAGGCGCAGTTCAGCACCAGTGAAACCAGCGAGTGCAGCACCAGTGAAACCAGCGAGTGCCGCCCCAGCCAATGCTGCTGGTACAGAAAATCTGGAGAACGCACAGCAAGCCCGTACGAATCCCTTGCAACAACCACCCGTACAACTGTTTCACATGCAGCAGCCACCACTCGATCCTATGCAAGTGCAACAGATGAGTGTACATCCACTGCCACCTTACATGCCTCCGCATCCAATGTACGTACCACAGATGATGCCACCTTATAATATGGTACCTTACCCCATGCCACCATATCCTACGATGCCAACCATGGGGCAGTGCCCCGGAAAATCACAGCCACTGCCAACTTCGGCATCTAGTGCATCTGGTGTTCCTTCCAACACGATAACCAATCCATCGACAAGTACATCTAAAGGGCAGAGCGGTGCAGCCAATAACATTGGGCACGTGCAGTTCTATGATCACAATAATAAGTATCGTCGCAACTATAAGGCGCCCGAGCAAAGCGTGCAAGTGAATCCGCCAGATTGCACAAACATGAATGCCATGGAGAACGCACGCATTGAGAATCAGCTGCGGCAGTTACGCGAACTGGAACTGAATAATCTACGGTATTGCTAAATTGTTATTAATAATCATCAGACAATAGTATTTAATATGATTTCTTGTAGACAAGTCACCGATGAACGTGGTCAGAAGGCATTGCAACGTGAACAGGTGCGTCGCGATTGCGCCGAACTGGAGCAGAAATTGGAGGCATTAGCACAGCAGCAACCGCAACTGTTGCCCAGCGATGTTAGTTATATACTTGTCTTACCTTTTTCGCTTAATCAGTTTTAAACCCTTTTCCAATCAGGCAAATTTCGTTCCAAGCCACCGCTACGCGGATCTAGCTTTACGTCGTGAACAGAAAATGAACGCAGCTATGGAGGAGATGCTTTTGCGTCCGGCCATCGTTACCTGCCCCGAAGTGGGCGTCACCAAGCATGTTTCACCTCGCAAAGGTAGCGTCCGTGGCAAACCGAGCGTACCGGAGGCAATAAATGTGGGTGACCCACCCAGCAAGATGGATGATGCTGTTAGCACGGCCAGCTGCTATTCCATTTTGCTAGAGTACGTTGATGATCAGAGTAAGCAACTTCGTACAGAGCTTAAGGGAATGCAGAGCAGTTCGTCCAAGTCAATGAAGCTAAGGAGTTTGCTGCAGCGTATCGAAAAGATTCGCACTCAACTGTTAACCGAGTTGCAGGCGGGAGATATGTCCGACAATAATGCACAGAAAGTGATCGATTCGATACGCAAGGAGCGCGCCGACATATTCACAGGCAGTGCAAGCAATATAAGCCAGCGAGAAATGGAATTGCGGCAGAAGGAGGAGTTATTGGAGCAACGCATACGAGTGCTATACAAGCGGCAGAAACAAAGCGATGGGCAAAAGGAGCGCAAGAAGAAGGACGATAGCCCTGTCGAGATCATAATCAAGGTGACCAGTGACGGCAGTGTTAAACAATGTATTCCCAAATATAAATCTCTGGACAAACTCCAGAGCAAGTCCGACTCCAATTCAAAGCCAACCACATCATCTTCCCAGCCCAGTGAAAAATCACCCATAGTTACAACTGCTCAAGTCCATCGGCAGAACTCGATAGATTCCACTTCAACGTCGTATCGCGAATTGCCGCCAGTCAGCTATAAAAACACAAATCCTGTAGAGGCAGTCAGCGCTACTCTGCCGGGTCAACCAGCTGCTGAGCCTCTGCATCCAATGCTCGTTCGTTATGTCGATCGCTTGCTGGACATGTCGCGCGCCTCCTTAGATCAGTTAGGTGTCCCTGGCTCTGAAATGGCAACCCCAACGGAATCGATAATCAACAATCCTAGCAATCTGCCACTTGATACCTTAGGAAATGACACTTTACTAGATAATGAGCGTATGGAGCGTGTGCAAGCCTTCATCCAAGAAAATCGTTGTTTTGTATCTGAGCTTGAGGACACGTTGCGCAGTCAACACAAAGATCAAGACAGGACGGGACAGGGAGAGCAAATAAATAGGGAACGCAACATGGACGAAGATCATCAGAAATGGAAAACACGCTTGTCCAGGCAGCAGTACCTGCCGCAGCAACAGCAAAGTCGGCAGCAGCAGCAGCAGGTACAGAATCAGCAGCAGGCGCAGAATCAGCAGCAGGCGCAGAATCAGCAGCAGGCACAGAGGCAGCAGCAGGCGCAGAGGCAGCAACCGCGGCTGAACCAACCACAGCAGCAGCAGAGACATCCGCAGCAATCACAGCAGCAGCAGAGACAGCCGCAGCAATCACAGCAGCAGCACCGCCAGCAGCAACAACTTCAATTTGAGAGACCGACTGCCACTAACCGTGCGGTAGCAGAAGCGGACATGGCGTCGCGTCAGTCGACACAGAATCAAATAGCTACGACTACAACGCGCATTGCTGAACCTGCGCAGAGACCACAAGCTGCGGAGGCAACCAAGAGCAAATCTCCGACTTCGGATAAATGTTCAGTACAGCAGATCGAACGTTATGCCAAACTCACGGAGAACTGCACACAGCGTATTGCAGAGCTAACGGAACTAATAAGCAAGGTGCGTGAGGAAAAGCAGCGTCTGGTCGAAGTCACACTAACTTCGGCCAGTGAAGGAGAGCGCCACTCGACAGAGTATTACGATTTGCCACCGTTGCCAGGGCAGCAACGCTCTCGCTCCGCATCAGAGCGTAGTGACAGCCATAATACGACGACATCCCAGTCTGAAGCTTTGCCGTTGCAGAAGAACAAGCCCACGGGTGCCAGTCTGGACAGCGGTATATCTATTTCACGACCGCTAACAGCACTGGGCCAGGTAGATCTCCAAGAGCCCGAGCCACAGTCGTTGCCCCCTTCCACACCGAGCAGTGGAGCACGTCGCTGCAAAGGGCCACCAGCCACAATACGTCGTTATAGCCCACAGTTGACCGCTGAGGAGCTGGCGCACGAGCTGTCCACTATTACCGAGGTGGATACGCCAGCGCAGTCGCATATTGTGCCTGCAGCACCGGCAGCAGTTCCGTTTCCCAGCTTCTACCAGTATGCACGGGAGCTACATCTTGACCTGGCTAACCTGGATACGAATCAAACTAGTCGACTGCAGCACGAATTTGAAGAACTCATTCAAACCATCAAGAAACGAGGCCGTGATGTTGACTATCGTGAGTTTCCCAGTATCAGTGCTTACTTACATAACATTACCGCAACAGCGACGTATATGGACAGCACAAAGGATCAACAATCCTTGCAAGTCGAAGAGATTTTGCAGCGCCTGCGCGTGCATAATATCAGTATACGGGAATTTCCTAACAGGCGTGACTACATACAACAGTTGCTGGAGAGGGAGCCCCCCGAACAACGGGAGCTGATTGACAGCGCCAGCCTGGACAGCAGCGATTCCATGAATGTTGAGGCAGAGCTGCGTCAGAGGCGCATACTCAGGTCATCGTTTAAGCGGGATACACGACCGTGCGAGATGCCTGACCTGGAGATAGCCAGCAGCACACGACGCGATAGTGCCCCGCCGGATGCCGCTACATATTCGCTCAATGAAAGTGGCATAGCACCATTGTCCAGGTCGCCGTTGACTATCGAAGTGCAGGTCGATATAGAGCGCATGGCTGCGCTCACTCTCAATCAGAGGGAGCAGCCGCAACCTGCTGAGCCCATGAACACTAGCGCCGGCAGTGGTTCATCAGGGGTCCATCAAAGATTTTCTGGCGGCAATGTAGAACAACCCTCATTCAGAGAGTCTGCTTCGGACACACCGCAAGATGTCAGTCAGATGGGGCGATCACTTAATTTGCGTGAATTTCTTACCAAAGAGCTGCTGAAGCACCGTGTGGTCGGTAGAGGCAGCAACTCTGAGAGCACCGACGAATCGATAAAAAGCAACTTTCTGCAATCTGTGATTGATTCTCTGTCACCAAGCTCAGCAAACTCTCCAGCGCTTGGACATGCCACCAATGGCACCAACGATAGACAAAAGACTTCGACACCCGTTGGCTCATTTCACACCACGCAGGATAAAGCGGGCTCGGTGCACAGCGCAGACACCCAACTATTCTCAGTCGAGAGTCGCATATCAGCGGTCAACTATGCCGATGGCACACCGCCAGTGCCTTACGAGCAGCAAACCACTTCTGCCGCAAAATCGTCAGCGGGCCGCAGCACAAAGACTGCCGATCGACTGTCCAGAAAATGATGTATAGCTTTATCAAGTTTTTCATATAATTCCATTTTACTTGTATGTGTTGCTCATTGTTTATCATCCTTACTGTGACATTCAACTGCTATAATCGTCAAAACGCAATCTTTATGATAATTATTTATATATATTTTTTTAATAAATTTATTAATTTCCACCGTTCTTAACTAATGTTTCAAGTAAATCAATTGGTCAGATTATATCCAACATTGAGTTGTAGATGGTTTACAATTATTATATATACTAATTATTCCTATTACACCTAAAATGGGTTAAGTGAGAAATTCGTCATTTATATAAATATCAAAAAGAAAACGTTTCCAAAGATATACATATTTATTCGAAATCGATTTCTTCTTTCAATATTAATATTAAATAGGAACTTTTCACTTAGCCCTTCACTTCTGCATTTAATGCTTACATTTAAGATATTGCTAAGTACAATGCATTCATTCAACTAACCTATAAGGCAGTATACTTGGATTTTGTTTAAGTAATAACCCGTACGGAGAAAATTTACTGATAATGATGTAAAAACAAACAAAAATAATATGAATCAAGTAATTCTTACAAATGGACGCTGGGAAAATATTAACTTATTTTAGATCATTTTGGTGTGGCATTTGAGTAGACCTTATGCATCTAACTGAAGAATGGAAATATTTAACAAGTTTAAGTAGAATGTTGCATTTAAAAAGATTGTGATAATGATTATTATGCACATTACAGGGAACGTGTTAACTGGGACATAACTGACTGTCCAAGTCTTGTTGGTGTTTGAGTAGCTTAAGCTAAACGCCAAGTCTGGAGTTAAATGCGAGTTTAATTATCATGCTCCTCGCTTGATCTCTCTTCATGCTCCTGCTGCATACGTTTAAACGCATTGTAGGCGACACTCTTAAGAGTGTCGGCCTCTCCTCCGGTGGCCTCGACCATTTGCCTGAGTATTCCGTGTGGCTTCTTCAACAGCAAATGCGGCACATCGAATTCCACTGCACTGCCAGCATCCATCACAATAATTCGATCTGAGTCCATGACTGTATGCAATCGGTGTGCTACAGTCAATACTGTACAATGCTGGAACTTGACACGAATTGTCCGCTGGATCAGTGCATCCGTTCTGTAGAGATAAATATTCATGTTTAATAAGTCATTCAAGAGTAGATTAATTATCAGCTCACTGTGGATCTACATTGGCAGTTGCTTCGTCCAGTACTAGCACCTTGTTGTTGCGCAGAATCGCGCGAGCTAAGCAAAGGAGCTGTCGTTGACCCACACTGAAATTGCTGCCACGTTCGGTAACCATGAAGTCGAGACCGGGAATCGCAGCTCGCAGCTCGACATCTTCGAGAGCGCGCCACAGCTCTGCATCGCTGTACCGCTCAAAGGGATCCAAGTTGTAGCGGATGGTGGCCGAGAAGAGCACAGGGTCTTGTGGTATAATGGAAATGCGGGCACGTAGTGTCTCCAGCGAGATGCTGCCCGTTTCGATGTCATCTATGTAAATGCCACCCTCAATGTATGCCAGACGGAAGAGTGCGCCAATAAGCGAAGACTTTCCTGCTCCCGTACGACCCACAATTCCCACCTTCCAGCCTGGTTCAATGATAAGGTTAAGATGCTTGAGCACAGCCGAGCCATTGGGATCGTAGCGGCAGCTCATGTCACGGAATTCCACCTGCCCCAATGTGGGCCATTGTTGAGAGGGCTCCACTCCCTTCGTCGTCTCCTCCTGTTCCAGCTCCGTGTACTGCAGCACACGCTCCACACTGGTCATCTGTTGCAGTGACTCAGCCACCTGACGGACACCATACTGCACCATGCCAGTTAGGATCATAGCCTGTGATATGGCCAGGCCCACATTGCCGCTATAAGTGGCTGTAAATGGTTATTAAGATTAGTTGGTAAATCGATTGCGAATCCTTTAACATTACTGAACTCACATTCGTTGGCGATTATAAAACTAAAAGTGACCGCCGTGAGGAACGCGCAACTGACGCAGTCCAACCACAGCCCCAATGCCGTATTGACCGCCATGGTCAGTTGCCAGACGCTACTGTGCACATCTTGCAATAGATCGAATTCCTTGGCGACAACATCCTGCAGCTGACGTGAGCGTATGATCGACAGACCGGTTAAAGTCGAGCTTAAGTGGGAGAACACTGGACTGCGGCAAATGCCTTCTAGGCGCTTTAGATCTTGGGAGGGGCGTAGGTAGAGCTTTAATATGAGCATATCAATAATAGCCACAACTAGCATTGCAGCCAATAGCACAGGATTCACCACAGCGATCACAATTAATATGCCAAACATGACCAGAGCAATCTGTATGCAGTCCATCATGGCACGCGGCAGAAGCTCATCAATAGCACCCATATCTTTGGAGAACCGATTCAGTATACGACCAGAGGGATTGGTGTCGAAGAATCTCATGGTCGCATGCAGTATCGAGGTAAACATGCGATCGTGTAGCACCTTGGACGCATGCATGCAGGTCTTGAAGAACAAAAATCCGCGAAACGTTGTCATAATCACGACGCCAATGATGAGAGCACCATAAATATAAATGCACTCGAAAGTGCTAATGCTGGTGGCTTCGCCCTGGGATCGCCGATGCTCCTCCTGCGTCCAGATATTGGCGAAGAAATCGGAGCAGCTGCACACCACTTGCGACATCAGCATAACGCACACCATGAAACTAAAGCCCAAGCACGTGCTGCCCGCATGGAAGTATTCATACCAAACACGCGGCGAGATGCTGCCCGAGCCCTGAGTCTCGGCTAGCTCATCATCATCTAGATCGGCTTCCGTTGGGTCACTGCTGTTCAGCTGTAATTATTAATGATAATTGTAAATAATTAAATCACAATTTTATACTTAATGATCCCCACTCACCGATTTGCTGCCATGTATGGAGCTGCTGTGTTTCCGCAACGGCTGGTAGCCATCCCGAACACCATCAATATACGGTATATCATCGTCTTCCTCTATATTCTCCTGCCCACTCAAACTTGACGATGACTCCAAGTTGTTACCAGACTCATCCTCTTCCTTCGGACGCTCTAGTAACTTGGCAAAGTCTAGGTCACTGTTGATCAGCTCCGCATAAGTACCCTGTCTCAAAATGCGACCCTGATCCACAATGATAATCCAATCGGCTTCTGAGAGGAAGTGCACCTGATGGGTAACGAGCACCCGAGTCGCCTTCTGCTGAGCCAATCTGCCACGTGGTCCAATCACCTCGTCGAACAGATGTCGCCCAACGTGAGCATCAACCGCGCTCAAGGGATCATCCAGGAGATAAATTGATGCTGGTTTGTAAACGGCTCGCGCCAAGCTGATACGAGCACGTTGGCCACCCGAGAGTGAAGCTCCACGCTCTCCAACGATGGTCTTGTCGCTATTGCTGAGTTGCTGAAAATCTGTGGTTAGGGCGCAGCACCTGGTTACTTCCTGATATCGCTTGCGCTCGTACTGCTCGCCACACAGAATATTATTCCGGACGGTGCCGGTAAAGAGCCACGGCTCCTGTGACGCATACGAGAGCTCACCCTGTATAATGACACCGCCATCGACTATGGGCAGCTCTCCAAGTAGCAGCTGTAGCAGCGAACTCTTTCCAGCTCCAACCGGACCAATGACCGCACAGAGCTGACCCTTTTCTATCTGCAGATTAAAGCCCTGAAGCGTGCGTTGCGGTCGCTCCTTGTCCCAGTTGGCACTAACGTCCTTTAGGACAATCGCACGTTGCTCGCTGATGTCTTCCTGTCGTTTGTGCGTTAGTCCGTGGACAATCTCATCACGACCCTCCAATTGAAGAAAATCCTGAATGCGACGCAAAGAGACCAATGCTTCGGCTCCGAAGGTCACGGCCAGGGGATACCAAATGGCCGCCACCAACTGCAGGATGTTATAATAGCTTGCGGCCGAAAAAACGAAATCAGCTGTAATTGTGTGTCCCATTAGAGCAGCTGCGACCAGGGTGATATACAAAGTGGAACGCTCTGTGAAGACCATAGTACTGAGGTAAAATCCACGCAGGTACGAAGCGTAACGAATCTGTTTTATCTCGCGGCGTCTGGCCTCGGCGACCACCGCCTCAAAAGGTTTCTCCCAAGCGTACATCTTGATGACCTGAATGCCCTGCACTAGTTCATTCATTATTCCAACGCGCGCATCTGTGCGCTCAGCTATACGCATGCGAAGCACCGATGTTAGCTTACTCAGTGCCGACTGTATGGGCACAGTCTTCAGCAGTAATCCAATGACGCCCACTAAGGCCGGGATACCAATACGCAGCCATATTAAATAGCAGGTAAGCACCGCCTGGAGTGGCATAATCCAGATCCAATGCATGAAAATGAATCCGTAATCCAGGCGGTTGACATCATTTGAGAGTAGGTTGATCAGATAGCCAGCTGGTGTTTGGCCCGCCGTCTTCATAGACAGCCGCAAAGTCTTTCGGTAGATCAAAGAGCAACAGGCTATGCGCATTCGAGCGCCCATCAGACGTTGGCGCAGGTCAACATGATGCACCATGAAACAACAAAGCAGAGTTGAACTGACCAAGACCGCGCCAAGACTATAAACGTCATTCCAAATATAATGTACACCCTCCTCAAAAGCATTCATTTGGCTCGCATTGTATCCGGAATCTTCGAAATTACTCATCACGAGCTGCTTGACTGGATTATCGCTGTCCAATGCATTTGGCGAATGGACTGTAAGCATAGATGAAATTAATTTAGGCAATGGAAATCATATATGTACATATTACTCTACTTACTCGTATCGTCATCTGAGGTCAGCCCCGGTGTTGCCACAGCCCGCACTGTGCGATTTAGTATACTGCGAAGGTTTCCGTCTTGGGCTGGCCCCATTGTTGACAAGGGATTAGCTTGATGCTGGAACTGCAGTAGCAGCTGTGCTAGTACGGCGGGTATCAGCGTTCTACAAACAATTTTTATTTTAATCATTGCTTTTATTGTTTCTCCAGTGTATAGCACTCTCTTACTTCATGATGATATAGAGAAGGCATATCAGGCCGTTGACTATCGTGGGTCCCAGGAAGCAACGAAATAAGGCATTGCGCAGACGAGGCTTCCTAGATTTACGGTGGGCACGCCCAAGTTCCTTGTACCACTCACTGTCATAATTAGTTGGTATAAGTTAGTATTTCAACTTGGTAGTATGTTTACTTACTCCTCTAGCCGGTCGCCCAGCTGCTCCGAATGATCCTCCTTTAGGCATTGTGTCAGATCATCTGTAGTCAGACCTTTTCGTGATCCGCGATACAGCATAGGCACCGCCCAGGCAAATATCAAATGGGATATGAAATTCGCCCCTTGGCGGGGATTCTTGCGTTCCGGTTTTGCGCTACTGTCCATTCTGTCATGGAAGCGCTGTGTGTTACCTTTTGTCAAGCAAAATATAACAATCTAATAAATTTCACTGTTGATAAGCTTGCAACACAATCTCTGGGCGCGACATACACTCAGTTGGTCACATATATTCAATCAAGCCCGGCTGTAAACTACAGGAAAATCGTGACTATACGCAATGACTCCTTATCTCTTCGCACTATCACATCCATAGTCACAGGCACAGCAGTCGACCTTGTACCGAATTAGCTCTAGCTCTCTGCACATTAGTGGCTAATAAGAGTATCAGACTATACTCTCACTGGGCAAAAATAATATATGATGAATTGGAGCATTATGTAATAGTCATCGTGATTAGATTCATGCGTAAGCCACATCCATATATTAGATGTTGCACTATTTTTTATCGAAGGCATAAGATCTAATGAAATAAAGTTATAGAACTAAAATATTTAGTTTACTTATGAAACGCACACTATATATGGAATAGAAACGTTTTTTTATATAATTTTTAATAATCCAATAAAGAAGATAATAGATAGTTTTCCCCAATTCAATATTTACTCACATTGTGGAGTATGCAAATATATATTTTATAATTCAACATTAGCGATTGAAAAACAAATTATCCAATTTATAGGTCATGTTACCGATGCATTTCTGTAACTGCAAAGCGATTCTGAATTACGGTTGTATGGCAAATATAAATAAATACTATATAGACACTTCTGGATAAAAACAAATCATAATGAAGACTGAAGTTTCTGAAGTGGATAATGTTTGTATTTACTCAATGCATTGACATCCACTCGTATCGGTCGTTCACTTAATTGTTTATTTATTTGACTGGTGTCTGCATTTGATAACACGAGACATTTGTGCGTAAATCAAATTGCATCTGGAGCGACGTCCTTATGACAATAATAATAATTTTTATTAATTGGTGTACATATCAGTCAGACAGAAGGCTGTGAGATCTAAGCCGACGCGATAAGCAGCGAACAATTTTCTTTTTTTTCTGGAACATAAATGTCTAAGTCGATTCTTGTGGTGTTTAAGATCATTTCTATTTGGAATGGAATGAAATGAGCTATACTATGTATGCATAAATATACATATACAGACAAAGATTTTAATAACAGACTGTAAAGCTCTTTAGCTTCAGTTAATAACTAAATTACGTGACTCTAGACTGGTCTCTATGTGCATGTCTGCAATAAGTGATTGCTCTCTATCTGTCTCTCTTTCTTTCTCTCTCTCTCTCTCTCTCTCTTACTCTCTCTCTCTCCTTCTCTCTCTCTATCTCTCTTACTCTCTCTCTATCTCTCTCTCTCTCTCTCTTTCTACATACATGCATATATAGAGAGGATGAAGGGTTGACGATGTTTCAACTCAGTAGAATTCAATGATGGGTCCAACGTTTATACAAATAAATGGTTATCTTCTCAATTAATAAAAATGCTGTCACGACAAAGCTGTAAATCAACATATACACATATGGATATATACATATATAAATTTGTATCTACGTATACATAATTGTATTGTACATACATAAGTCGGACCGAATACAAACGAAATAAGGCATATACATATATGTATGTATTTACGAATATTGTGAAAAAAATAAACAAAATATATAAAAACAGATGTTCATATATAAACAATTTATGAAGAGATTAAATCGAAGTTGTCTTTTATATAACTCTTTCGCAATGCCTAACAAATATATAATTTGCTGCTCGATAAAATTGAATATCAGCTAATCCATTACTATTAAAATAATTGATATACATATACAGACGCATAATTTAAATATTACAACCATTTTTAATCATAGGAAGTGGTCTATAAAAGCGTTGGAAAAGCGTTGTTAATGGCTGATTAGGAGATACCCTGATCATTCTACTGTTATTTTCTACACACTATACACTATACATACACTATATATGTGTGTATTTGCATTTTGTTATCTGGATTGATGTGACTTATGAGATTCCTGCGCCCATACTAGCGGAAAAAAAAAACATGGATCGTTCGGCTCACCCCGTTTCCTGATCTACCCCACCAATATCTGCCTGTTACATACAGTTTACAAAAACAACATGCATTGCCTTTGTGAAGGGTATAACAGCATAATTTCACCAAATTGGGCTCTTAGATATGCCAATTGTGAATATTTCACCACTCACTCTCTCTCTCTCTCTCTCTCTTTCTCTCGGGCTCCTCTCTTTGTTACCCATTCGCTCTTTCTCTCTATCTCTCAATTTCGTTCTTGATATCAACAGTTGTTCGAACAAATAATCTATTTAACTGTTGCTAGAATAACAAATAATTGCAATGAAATAACAAGAAATTTGCCTCATATTGCAGACTGTGATTAAGTTTGCTTATAGAAAGCAAATTACTTACACAGGTGCAAGCATGCGAATGGTATGCTTGTATTTACTTTAAACCGGGCTAGCGCTGACGTCTGGCAGCGGGAAATACATATATGTACATGCAATTATGTACATATGTATAGACTCACACACACATACATATTAGCAAATTTAATTGTACAAATCAAAATATCGTCATTGTTTATAACAACGAGCCGGCAAGTGGCTGTCTGGTTGCTAGCCAAGACCTGAGCAGCTGCATACTATGCATGGGCGATTCAATGCCACGCCTCTAAGGCAAGGGTTGTTGGCCATTGACCGAAAGCAAAATGCTTAAAAATATCACAGTGTGCAATGAGTAACTGGGTGAATATATTAACGCATCGAATTGGGTACATTTTATGACGTAAAGTGGCGATATAATTACTCGAAACAGCAAACATACAGAACATACGCACATATGTACATACATATGGAATATTAGGTGAATCGTTCACATACCCTGCTTTAGTTACGTAAATATTGCAATATATTGCTCTTTGTCACACAATGTTACATATGATTAATTGTGAATATATTTATATTTGTCTTGCTCAGCTTGCAAACTACTTGATGCTTTCGATGTTGGCACACGTGCATAAATTTCACCAAGCATTGGGCTCCGACAAGTGAACTGGCGAACTAATGAACTCGCAGATCCGAGCAAACGCCAATTCGAGCACCGACGCGCCGCACAGCTCGATTGTAACTGAGAACGAATGACTGCAGCTGAATGGAACGAACCATTCACCTAATGCCCGCCAGTCTTTCTTTTTCATTCCCCCAGCGCAAAAGAGAGCAAGCGGTTTACTTTGGCAAACAAACCGCTCGCTGAGCGAGAGAAAATACGGAGAGCACACATGACTACAAAAGTGTGTTATGAAAATACAAATGATCTATGTTAAGAATATACATATATTCTTATCTAAATTAAATAAAAAATATAAAATCCCCTTTGCATTAATTAAATTTAAATAAATTAATTACTCATCTAATTAATTTAATTATCTAAAATATATGTACATATATGTACATACATAATTACATACATTATTCTTGTGTGCACATATACATATCATATACATATTTATGCAAAACCAAAACAATTCTGAAAGAGAACCGCGGAACGCTTGAGCTTGGAGGAACGTGATAATCCAAAGAAGTACGAGGAAGAGCCGAGTCGTATGTTTATTATGTTTGAAACTCTTCAATGCTCGCTCCGCCGAAAGCCATATCTTCGGGCGCTCGGCGCAATTTGCATGGCCAGCAATATCGAAGGCGAACGCATTTTCAGTCCACTCAGCATCTACTTTCGTTGGAGTTTCGTTTATTGGATTTGCGCATACTATTAAGGCACACTGGCCTGAGGGACGGCCAAATAGGCGGCAAGTATCTGTCTGGTAATATAGGCAGGTAGTCGAGCAATTTTGCCAAGCATTACAACCAAGGTGCCGCTGATCTTATCGCGCCTTAGCGTGCTCAAAAACTCGGCGTCTTCGTCTTCGTCTTTACTCTTCGCATTTTCATTTTTTTTTTTATTTTTTATTTTCGACCGTTATCGGTTATAAGGCACAAGCCGGACAGCATGTCGAATCAGTTCTGAGACTGGCCTTGCCCTTGTCGTGCCGTGGTGAGTTGGACTCAAAATCGAGTCGTGGGAGAGAATCGTGTAGGCATTACGAGTACTTCGCTGCCTGTCTGCCAGCTGGGCGCGTCGGTGTGTCCCCTGGGCTGATCTGGTTTACAGGAGATGACCAAGCAAATGCTGTGCCGCGACGGTCTGCTGCGTTGGGTTGTTCAGCTGCTCCGGACGCTGCTGTTGCGCATTATGTCTCACTTTAAGGCCGAACTGCAAACCAGCTATTCAAGCCCCAGCCTGCAGATAGTGCCCAAATATGTGCCCATACCACGCGTCAAAGGACTGCCCATTGTAGGTACACTGTTCGATTTGATAGCAGCCGGCGGAGCACCGCAGTAAGTGTGAAGATTTGCCTGAAAGACAGTTATTTGAAAACAATCTCCATAAAGCCTCCATAAATATGTGGATGCCCGACATCGTCAGTACGGAGCTATCTTCCGCGAAAGATTGGGCGGCACCCAGGATGCAGTGTTCGTATCGTCCGCGAATCTAATGCGCAGTCTCTTTCTGCAAGAGGGTCAGTATCCACAGCATCCGCTGCCGGATGCCTGGACGTTCTATAACAAGCGACATGACTGCCAACGTGGACTCTTCTTTATGTAAGTGGCGCATAAAATGAATTGCAAATCGCACTTAAAACTCGAATCGTGAATTGTAAATTTGAGCAGGGAGGGCGCTGAGTGGCTGCACAACAGGCGTATACTTAATCGGCTGCTGCTCAATGGTAATTTGAATTGGATGGACGTGCATATTGAGAGCTGTACGCGCCAATTGGTGGACAGATGGCAAACGAGCCTCGAGCAGGCAGCAGCTAATGGAGAACATTACGAGCTGCCAGACCTAGAGAGGCAATTATATCGTTGGTCCATTGAAGGTTAGGCCATAAAACAATTCATTCGCAGACCCCTCATTAACCACAGTTAAATTCTCCAGTTCTCTGCAGCATCATGTTCGGCTCGAGAGTTTTGATCTGCCCTCAAATGCAATGCGCCCTGGATGAATTCACACAAATCGTCCACAAGGTGTTCGAGCACAGCTCGCGGCTGATGAACTTTCCACCCAGGTTGGCTCAACTGCTGCGCCTGCGCATCTGGCGAGACTTTGAGGACAATGTGGGAGAAGTGCTGCAGCAGGGTGCATCCATAATAGAGCTCTGCATTAGCTTACAACGAGAGCAGCCGCAATCGGAGCAGGAGCAGGAGGAAGCCTTATATCACAAGCTGCAAGCAGCGGCGGTGCCCAGCGAGATGATCAAACGAATTTTCGTGGATTTGGTCATAGCAGCAGGTGACACGGTCTGCAGCTGAGCAGCTTAACCCATCTCTGGTTACAATAATTTCCTATCAATTCCCTACAGACCGCGTTCAGCAGTCAGTGGGCCCTGTATGTGCTCTCCTGTGATCAGCCACTGCAGCGTCGCATCGCTCAGGAACGAGCGGCAGCTGAGTCGCAGCTGTTGCATGGCCTGATTAAGGAAACTCTACGACTGTACCCAGTTGCCCCATTCATTGGTCGCTACATGCCGCAGGATTCACAAATAGGTGGCCATTACGTGGAAAAAGATGTGAGTGGACCGCAGACTCTTTATACTCTTCAAATTGAACTGATTATCAGCCTTCTCATTGCAGACCCTCGTGCTCATCTCTCTCTACACATCCGGCCGGGATCCGGCGCACTTTGAGCAACCGCTCAAAGTTCTGCCCGAGCGCTGGATTCTCGGGCAGACGGAGCAGGTGCATCAGCCTCATGGCACCCTGCCCTTTGCCATTGGCCAGCGCTCCTGCATCGGCCGACGCGTTGCCCTAAAGCAACTGCACATGCTGCTTGGCAAATGCGCCTCGCAGTTCACCATGCAGTGCCTCAATGAACAGCCGGTGGACTGCATCCTGCGCATGGTGACTGTGCCCAATCAGACCTTACGCCTCGCCCTGACCCTCAGACCGAAAGCGGCAGCCCTCTAATATAATAATAAGATTCTTCATATCTAAAACATTAATGCACGTGAGGGGTATTTAACTAAGCTGTTGCCCATACATACATATGTAGTTAGCACACATCATTGTAATCTTATGTCTAATTTATCTTTGGTTAGTAGTAAAGTAAAGTTTCATATGCAGACTCGAGGTCTCTACGATGGCACTTGGTTGTCAACGAGAATTCCTGCAGTTCGCTCTAGCAGCATGAGCAACTGGCTCTCGTCAGTTCTTTTCTTGCCCCCTGGCTGCAGCATTTCCTGGAATGATTTGCTGGCCAGCTGCCGCAATGCATCGGCCTCGCCGCCAGTTGCCTCCACCATCTGTGTAAGTACTCCGTCTGGTTTCTGTAGCAGCACATGTGGCACATCAAACTCCACTGCATTGCCGGCGTCCATTATTACAATGCGATCCGAATCCATGACAGTGCGCAATCTGTGTGCGACAGTCAGCACTGTACAGCTCTGAAACTTGTCACGAATCGTAGTCTGGATCAGAGAATCGTTGCTGAAAAGTGAAAGGGGTTTGAGACTACGAACTGAGAACGATTGAAATATAGTTACCGTAGATCCACATTAGCAGTGGCTTCGTCCAGCACCAAGACCTTATTGTTGCGCAGAATCGCGCGAGCTAAGCAAAGGAGCTGTCGTTGACCCACACTGAAATTGCTGCCACGTTCGGTAACCATGAAGTCGAGACCGGGAATCGCAGCTCGCAGCTCGACATCTTCGAGAGCGCGCCACAGCTCTGCATCGCTGTACCGCTCAAAGGGATCCAAGTTGTAGCGGATGGTGGCCGAGAAGAGCACAGGGTCTTGTGGTATAATGGAAATGCGGGCACGTAGTGTCTCCAGCGAGATGCTGCCCGTTTCGATGTCATCTATGTAAATGCCACCCTCAATGTATGCCAGACGGAAGAGTGCCCCAATAAGCGAAGACTTTCCTGCTCCCGTGCGCCCCACGATCCCCACCTTCCAGCCGGGCTCGATAACTAAATTGAGATGATTGAGAACAGCTAATCCATTTGGATCATAGCGCAAGCTCATGTCCCGAAATTCAATCTTTCCATGCTGCGGCCAAAGTGGGGAAAGTTCATTGCTATCACTGTTAGGCGACTGCTCCTGCTCCAATTCCGTGTACTCCAGTACGCGTTCAACACTTGTCATTTGCTGGAGTGACTCGGCGAACTCGCGGACGCAGTACTGAACCATGCCAGAAAGAAGAATGGCTTGAGAGATGGCCAGGCCAACATTTCCGCTGAAAGTAGCTGAAAATGGAAGAGTTCCTTTGGTTTATTTTTTAGGTTATCTTACCACTCAAACTGACCGACATACCTCCGCTGAGCCCAATAAAGCTGAATGTAACAGCTCCGAGAAATACCGAGTTGATTGTATCCACCCAAAGTCCAAGCGCCGTGTTTGTGGCCTCTGCCAAGTGCCAAACGCCGCTGTGCACATCCTGCAGCAGATCGAATTCCCTGATAGCTGTGCTCTGCATCTGGCGAGAGCGTATGATCGAAATGCCGGACAAAGTTGATGTTAAATGTGAAATCACGGGACTCCGACAAATCCCCTCCATGCGCTTCAGGTCCTGCGAGGGTCGCAGATACACCTTTAGTATGAGCATATCTAGGAGAGTTACAACCATCACAGCGGGAAACAGCATCGGATTGACAACGACAATCAAGGCCAATATGCCAAATATAACCAAACCATGTTGTATGAACTCGAGCATATGTCGAGGCAGCCATTCGTCCATGGTGCCAATGTCCTTGGAGAAGCGATTGAGTATTCGGCCGGAGGTGTTATTGTGGAAGAATCGCATGCTCGCATGCAAAATGCAACGAAACATTCGATCATGTAAGACTTTCGATGCATGCATGCATGCCTTGAGAAATAGGTAACCGCGAAACGTAGTCATGAAGACCACACCCAGAATGAGACCTCCATAGATGTACATGCACTCATAGGTGCTCAGACTGGTGGGCTCGCTTTGAGAGCGTAGATGCTCCTGCTGCGTCCAGAAGTTGGAAAAGTAATCGGAGCCACTGAAAACGATCTGCGATAGCAACATGATGCACACCATGAAGCCGATGCCCAGCAATGAGCTGCCCGCCTTGAAATATTCGAGGAAGACACGTGCCGATACCCCTCCTGTTGCCTGAGTCTCAGCTAGGCTATTATCCTTTTCAGGGAGCTTCGCCTGCTTACCACTTTCTGCCTACAATGTTCAGTTAATTAATGATAAACCAGTTTAAAGATATCGACCTAAAACTCACCAAATGGTTACTCTGAATGCTATCCCTTCTCGTGCGTGTTTTTAACGGCATGGAACCATCGGAAAGAGCATCAATGTCCTCGTCTTCATCCTGTTCTTCAGGTTCATTGCGTGGCAGAGGGCACGCCTCCTTTTCAGCATTTATATCTTCAATTTTAACAGGAGTTTCTAGCAATCTTGCTAAGTCCACATCGCTATTGATGATGTCCTGATACGTGCCCTGGGCAACGATTTCGCCTTTCTCCACTACGACAATCCAATCGGCGTCTGAGAGAAAGTGCACCTGATGAGTGACCAGAACCCGAGTCGCCTTCTGCTGAGCAAGTCTGCCACGGGGGCCGATCACCTCGTCGAACAGATGTCGTCCAACATGCGCATCGACCGCGCTCAACGGATCATCCAGAAGGTAAATGGATGCATGTTTGTAGATGGCACGAGCCAGACTAATGCGAGCTCGCTGGCCTCCCGACAGCGAAGCTCCACGATCTGCCAAGATGGTCTCGTCTCCATCACGTAGTTGCTGGAAATCAGTGATCAGAGCACAGGCCTTGGTGACATCCACGTATCGCTTTCGATCGTATTTTTCTCCAAAAAGAATATTGTTTCGCACCGTTTCACTGAACAGCCAAGGCTCCTGAGATGCATACGAGACCTCCTCATTTACAATGAGACTGCCATCAATAATGGGCAATTCTCTTAGCAGCAACTGGAGTAGAGAGCTCTTCCCTGATCCAACGGAACCTATTATGGCACAGAGCTGCCCCTTTTTGATGAGTAAATTAACATTCCGAAGTGTGTTCTGTGGCTTTTCCTTATCCCAGCTTGCATTAATGTTATTTAGAGCAAGAGAATCCATTCCTGTGTCAGCTTTTCGTGGACTTTCCAGGTATTTCTCCCGTTCCTCCTGCAGCAGAAATGTCTGGACACGTGCAATAGAGACCACGGCCTCGGCACGCAAGTTAATGGCGAGGGGAAAGTAAACGGCGGCAACTAGTTGGAGTGTGTTGTAGTATATGACCACGGAGAACACAAAATCCGCCGTAATGCTCTGACCCATGAAGACGGCTGCAGCCAGGGTCAGAAATAAAGTTGTACGCTGTATGAAAAATCTGGTCGTGCGCTGAAATCCATATAGATAGTTGGCATATCGTAGCTGCTGCACCTCACTGCGCCTGGCATTTGAAACCACTTTCTCAAAGGAGTTCTCCCAGGCATACATTTTGATCACTTGAATGCCCTGCATAAGTTCGTTCATTATGCCCACCCGCACATCTGTCCGCCGTGCAATGCGCTTCCTTAGAGCGGCGGTCAACTTGCTCAGGGCCACCTGCACTGGCACCGTCTTCAGCAGCAGACCCATAACTCCGATCAGTGCTGGAAACCCAACTTGCAGCCAAACAATGTAGCAGGTGACCAGTGAGTGGATAGGCAAGATCCAGATGTAATGCGCAAACACTAAGGCATAGTCCAGTCGACTAACATCGTTCGAAATGAGATTGATTAGATGACCAGCTGGCGTACCGCCCACTGTGCGCATGGAGAGTCGAAGGGTCTTGCGATAGACCAGCGAACAGCAGCCAATTCTCATGCGAGCACCCATCAAACGTTGGCGCAAATACAGATGATGCCACAGAATGCAGGAGATGAAATTGATAGCCACCAGCCACACGCCAAGACTGTAAACATTGTACCAACTGCCATCTGACGTGCCTAATGACCGAGCCTGGTTGGAGCTGTTGGCTAATATGATATGGAATAAAATCATATGATATAAATTGTGAATACTTTGACTTCTACTTACTGGCGACGGCATTGTCCGGCGAGGATATATTAAACGTACCCAATGAATTATTATTGAGCAATTGGGGCAGTTCATTTATTTTATATATGACAGTTTCTGCCACTTTTTGTTGCAACTGCAGCAGGAGCTGCGCTAGAATTGCAGCGATCAGCATTCTATAAGATGCATGTAAATAAATAAATCAAATAAATAATTGATTGAGCTTTTTAAAAAACTTATGACTCACTTGAGTGCGATGAATATGACGCACAGAATGCCATTGACTATAAATGGGGTCCAGAAGCATCGCAGCAAAGCATTGCGAAGTTCAGGGTTTCTTGACTTTCGTTGGGCAGTCGCTAGTTCCTTAAGCCATTCACTGAAAGCGAGCACATTTCAATTGATGGAAATACTTTAATTCGAATAATAACAAACACTCACTGTTCCAGTCGATTACCCAGCTGCTCGGAGTGATCTTCCTTCAGGCACTCGGTCAGATCGTCCGCATTGAGACCCTGCCGGCATCCCCGTAATAACAATGGCACAGCCCAAGCGAATGATAGACGGGATAGAATACTGGCTTGTGCACATGGATTTTTACGCTTCGGTTTGGCACTACAATCCATTTTTAATTCGAATTATTGCTGATTTGTGCGCGAAGTGCACAACACGTCCGATCGCTATAATCTCGCTGAAAAAGTGTGCCGCCGTCTCACACAGCTATGCGCCCAAAATAATCTTATCGTGCCCGCTGAATGTGTAAAATCTACAATCTCTTGTCCATAAATGTAATTTAATATAATATTATAGCATAATCTAAGCGCTAATCTGAGCACTTTACGAATTATCTACACTCTATAATCTCTGGAGCACTTCCACACCTTGCATAGTAAGTTGTCTACTGACTAATTAATTCCTATGCCAGTCCAACCCACGATATAAGGGCTGTACCTTTTATCTAAAAATGTTTATATGTATGTACATATATCTGAACGATACGAAACAAATATATCTATATATATTCCAAGAAATACGCGTAAACATTTTATACGGTTTTTGGAATTTCGCGAGTGCAACAATTTTATTTATAGAACTATAAACAAAATCAAATTTGCATGCTGCGGTACGCACAATACAAAATATAAAATATTATATAGTATACTCTTTGAGAAAACTATTTATTTTAAACTGCCTTTGTCCATCAACTAATTCAATTATTAATAATAATTGTGCGGCAACTTTGCATCGCTAATGGAATAGTGACAATGCGTACGCGATCTAGCAAAAATACAACATTAAGCTTTACGTATTTAAAGCGATAAGACATAGTGAATACTATGAACATTTAAAAAGCCGACGAGCAATTATATTACACAAAAAACTCGTTTAGGTTTTTAAAATATATCAATTTTATAATCAGAATACATACATATATAAATACTTATACTTATGACAATAATGCCAATAGCATGCAGTAAATAAGAAACACTGTACATAGGAGCAGTAGGCCAATTATTGCCTCACCGCACCACAAGTGACCAAAACACAATGCCAGTACGATCAGACATATCGAGGGTATGGAGCCCAGCGGTCGTAGACTGACGCGCGGTGGTAGCTGCTTCTCGTAAATATCTACGTTGCCATTGCTTTTCTCAAACCACTTTTCCGTCATGGGCGCGTACAGTAATTGCCGTGCGAGCTTCCCGTAAAAATCGTCTCGCACGTAGAAATCTGCTATTCGGCTGCCATACTAAATGGAATTTTATGCAAATTATTAACAGTTGGATTGCACAAAAAACAGGGTGCTGGGCACTTACTTTGTTATTGATGGCCTCCGATATACGATGCAGCAGTCTCACCAGCGGTTTAATCTCATTTGACTTGATTGGCAACAGCGCTGGATCGACAGTGGGCTGCATGTTGGAAGAATTCAGTGACATTTGATGGGGAGTCAACATTGAAGTATCCAGCATGTCATTCGAGTCGAAAAAGCTGAAATTCTTCAAAGAAGGGGAATCGGGTGGACTCGGCTCCTCTGGTAGGGCTTCGTGCATAGACAATGTGCTCGGATCAACCTGATGAAATATGGATTTTCACATTAAGAAATACTGACAACTGGGACAACAGAGACTTACATTGAAGGTACGACAGAATGCATCTAAGCACTGACGCAACACCTCGGGTATGCGACTCAGCTCACGTAGCAATATTTCATCCTGTGTTTTTTCGCCAAGAATCTTCTTCAATAGATTTTTTATATAGCCCTCCGAACGTTGTCGGTCCATAATCTCTTTACGCAGCGTACTAATTATATTCGTCAGCACAGAGTTTCGTGCCACGCTTATGCCAAACAGAAAGCTTTGAATTCTCGAATGCATATGCTCACTAAACAGCAGTGGTATATTGGAGCTGACTAGGGGATTCCATTGCGCATTGTAGGAACTGTTGTGTGATTTGCTGCAATTGAAATTAATGAAACCTGATTGCAGTTGCTGCCAAAACGATTTGCAAATCAAACCTACTTCAGCATATTGACTTGGCGCTGAGGCGAGTCAAATCCATAAGAATTGCCCGAATGCAGACGCTCGAAACGCTGTAATCTGTCAACCAAATCCTGCTGCGAGAACGTTTTGGCCAGGCGATGCAGCATGTACGCATTACGATATACCGAGTAATCCAGTCGCTCAAATCGAGGCAATAGCTGCATAAAGATATGCGTATACACTATCAGGTTATCTATTATGAAGCCGTCATAGACAGATGTAATTGGTGGCTCATAATTTATGCCCGAGCTGCAAGAGAAGAACCGGGAATATAAATATGAATATAAAGACAATTGAGACTACTGAAATGCTATCACTCACGTTCGATTGGTGGCGCCCATAGTGTAGCGCCACGGTTGAATGTAGCTCAGCCAGAGCTCCAAAACAACACTCAACGAGCTGTCCAACGGCCAGCGATCGATCAGACTACAGAGGAACGCATAGATGCGCCCCTTAACCATGTTTAGGGATAGTTTTCTCAGCGGGCAGAGCGGACTGTGATCCATACGCGATCCATTGGCAAAGAAATGTATCTGCTTGACAAGCGTACGAACGCCTCGCACAAACTCGCTGCTGGGCAGATGGTGCTCCGATTCGATGTCATAGCGCAACCAAATATCAACGAAGAAATGCACCACAGACTCGGAGCGCCAGGTATAGATCCGGCTAGCAGTCGCATTGCCATCCGACGTAGACTGCGACGACGTGTTCGCCATCCCTACACTGTCAGCGTCGACATTATCGTTCCGATATGAGCTGGGCAGCTTAAGATACCGCAGCTGCCGCTGCGGCTGCAGAGACTGGGCGGGCAGCGGTTGCGGCGCCTTGACACTGCTCACATAGTTTGATGGTTCAATGTTGGCATTTGGATAGTGCGGCAAGAAGTTATCCAAATACTCGGCAACCAGCAGCTGATAGACTGTCTTCGTCCTCTCGCTGTGTATCTGCATAGCAATGGGATTGATGGTGTGCAGAGGCACCAGCGCGTGCAGCACAAAGTGGAGCATGTAGAAATCGAAGGCGTTGAGGGAGAGCGTAGTTAGCTGATGCTTTATGGGGTCTATGTTGATTAGATCGGAGTAGAACATGGGACCACCTTGAAGCATGCTTATGAATTTACGCTGTGAATAGATAATATAAGTCAGGTTCGCTACAATACTCAATATTCTAATTAATTAATCACTAACCGGCAATAAATTAATATCTATATCGAATTTTGTAGTCTCATTTAGCAGTCGATGACAGATGTGCATCCAAATGCCGTTCACAGCAAAGAACTGATGCAGCTTGTTGTAAGAAAGCATTGAGTTCTCCAGTGTTGTCGTCCTTAATCCCCATCCCACCGGATTGCCAGTAACTCCAAATATCGAATGCACAATGAGCGGGTAAATGTCCTGAATTTGACGAATGGTGCAGCGGTCAAATAATAGCTCCAGTTGTGACAGTCTGTCAATCACCGGAAGGCTGAGCACTGCCAGTATGTGGCTCTGCAAATTCACTCGTAATTTTAATTAATCATCCAGCATTAAATAGCAATAATACTTACATTTATATTTTCTGGCGGCATCGGCTGAGACATGATGTCGGCGTTTTGACTATGGTTAGTGCTATGACTCTCAAACTATGTTTGTATCAAAAATTTAGTAGGCAAAATAGTGCTGCCATCTTAAGACTGTTATCGATAGTATAATTGACTGATTAAAAGATTGAATCATAATATATAGAAAATTGTTTTGTTTGACATAAAGTTAAAGTCAATTATTTAAAAGAAACTGCATTTTATATTCACGTACTTCTTTACTTTGAGCATTACAGTTAATGCCTATAAATACACTTGGCAAATTTTATTCAAGCAGGGCTGCACACAATATATATTTATTTTTGTGGTATTTTATCGCTTGCTTCATACGGTCGTATTGTTCGCGGCCGGCATTTGTTTTGGTGCAATTTCGCTAAACTGCTTATTTATAGTTGTGTATAATTTACAAGCGACAAAATGAAACGCCGCAGTCAAACAAAGGCGCAAGCGACCAAGGAAGTCGACAAGAAATCTAAGGAAAAGATTGGTGCACTTACCCTGGATCAGTTCAGCTCTGATGTTATTTGGCAGGTGGGTGCTCCGCAAGACCTAAACGTTTACCCATTATAAACCAACTTTGATTCTGTTTCAGCTGGCATCACAGTACTGGTCGCCTGAGACAAAGGACAAGCATTTGCCATATAATGCTGACATCATAGAGCGAATATATGCGGACGAAATTTCGAGTGGAAAGAGTAGCGCACGTCGGATTAATATGCTAGAATTTAGCCAGTACCTGGAGCAGTATTTGTGGCCCAACTACAAGCGCAAGTCGGCTACACACGCACACTTAATGTCTATCGTGATTATGGCGAACGAAAAGTTTCGGGAACGCGTCGAGGTTTGGAATGTCTTCGAGCAGCTGCCGGAGGAATACCCGGGATTCTTTCGCCACGTGCTGGAGAGTTGCTTACCCGACCAAGCGACGAAACAAAATAAGAGCACAATGCGTGAGCGGACGGCTTTGCTCATGTTTCTAAATCACTGTTTCAACAGCATGGAAATCGAGCTGTGTCGCGAACAGGCAAAACGCCTTGTCTCCCTCTCTATGTGGCACTGCCTACAGCCGCGTGAGTAAAATAAATCCTCAGCGTGTACATATTTATTTAAATGAATGTATAAAATTTGTAGGTCGCCGCGAACAAGAGCTGCGGGAGGTGCCCGAATGGCGCAAATACTGGAAGCGCTTGCAGAAAAAGGAAAAAGAGAATGCAAAGCCCGATGTCATGTGGGAACGTCACTTTATGCAGAATCTTATCGTAGACTTTTTGCACATACTGGAGCGCATACCATTGGAAGGTGAACTCAATAGTAACGTGGTTCATTATTGCGAGCGCTTTTTGGAATTCATTATTGACTTGGAAGCTCTGTTACCCACGCGTCGCTTCTTCAATACCGTGCTGGATGATTGCCACCTGATTGTGCGCGCGATCATGAGTCCATTAGTGCGGCGAGAAGAGGGCAAACTATTTGGTCAGGTATGTATCAGACTTTGTTTAATTATATCTTCCATAAATTAGCTTTAAGTACAATTCCCAATGTTTAACATTGTTAAACTACAAAAACACTTAGCGTAGCTACGAGTAGATCTTATAATTAGCTGATGAAAAACTAAGGCCCAGACTCAACTATTACTTGGCTTTGGAGCATGGATGGAGGGCACTCAATATTCGTTGCCGTTCATGTAGTGCATTTCGTCACCCCAATCGTTCGCTGAGGGCGGCTCATTGTAACAGCAGGACTTCTTCAGCAGATAAGTCACATGACGCTGCCTCAGCACGCAAATATAGAGCAGCAGAGGCGCCTGGAACGCATTCACTATGATATGTGCATAGAGTAGGCCGTCCAAGGCAAGCCATGACATGGTCAGAAACAGCCAGGAAAACGACATCACTAGCAACATTAGCGAGAACATGATAAAGCTGCAAGACAATTGAATTGGTTCAACATCGATATGGAGGATTGACGACATTCAACTCACTTGGCCTTCAACTTGTGTGCAATTCGTCCGTAGACGGTGCGACGATTGATCAGTTTCCGCGTGGTCACGTAGAAGAAGATGTTCACTATAATCGTGCATGCAATGGGTGCGAAGAATATGCAAATGCCAAGCCAGCCAATCGTCTGCTGTTCGCCTCGCATGTTCTCCTTTTTGTACGAGTCCGCGTCCAGGAAGAAGTGTGCAAAGACAGCGAGGACAGCCATGGTGGCCGTGCAGCCCCAGGCATAGAACGAATAGTAGCAATATTTACGTCCATCGGTGACGCGCAGAAAAACATTTCTCGACCGAAATGTTTTCCATATGTAGTAGCCGAAGCTATTCAACCAGAAGAATGCGGCCAGAAGGCTGAAGCAGAGTATTATGTCAGCCACAATGAAGCTGACGTGATTTGTGAAATCTGTGAAGATACAGACCAGATCTGCCGCCTGGCTTACCATCAGGCACATGGCTATCGTAGTCACTATATTGCCAACCAGATCTCTGCTAAAAGAAACAAATGTGTCAATGAATAACCATAAATATAGTACTCCATGTTCAACAACTGATCTCACCTTAGTGTAGGCAGTATGAAATAGATAATGGCGATGATCAGCAAGATAATCAGTGATATACCGTGGAATAGGGGATTGAGTATTTTACGCAGCAAGAAGTTCGAATCATTCCAATTGTTCTCCTTCCTGGCCAAACAGATATGCGCAAAAAGGCTGTGTTTATGCTCTGGCGAAATAGCCTGCAATATACAAATTGTTGACGTGAAAAGACAAAAGAAATCACATTATCGTATGTCTAAAATACTAACCTTATCGAGACAGTATTGACCCTGCTCATAGTCGTAGAAACGTGGCTTTTGCGCCTCAGCCAAATCCTCATCATAGTCCGTCTGCACGCCGCGCTGCTCGTCGGCCTCGTCCTCTGTATTCGTGTAGTGCCTCAGTTTTCCATCATCCAAGAGGACCAACTTGTCGTAGCTCTGCAAGGGAAAATCATAAGTCAAAGCAGTTCCAATTGTCACTCCAGTTAGATGTACATACCCCCACATAGTCCAGAACAGGCCACATCTGTTTGTTGCCGCAGTTGGGCAGGCCTATAACGAACTTAAAATGGGCCACTGGTCTGTTCTGGTCGCCACTGTAGCTGGTGAACATCGGCTCGAAATAGTCTATAAAAGGCAAATGCAGATATACGCATAAGGCATTAGTGTCGGATCGCATTAATTGAATAAGAAGAAGATGAAGAAGAAGAGGAGAACGGGGCGCATCAATAGAGCAACGGAACGGGGCAAACACAGGCGAACAAAGCCAATCATAAAGCACTACATGTCTATAAATATTTACGTGCTCAGAGGCAGCACAAATCCAGATTCTCTTGGACATACACACGCACACACACACACATATTTAGCTGCATTAACAGCATCAATTGACGCTCAGACAATATTCCAGTCTGCAATATTTTCTGCAAGTTGCGATAATTGCTTTAGGTTTCGTTTATGTAGTTGATCATGTTGCATGATATAGCAGAAGAGACGAATGTAAATGAAGGTCTTCACATTTCTTTGAGCAGTCTTAATAGATATGTGGGAACTCGTTGCACTCCGACTCAAAGCTAGCTGAGAAGCTGTCTAGTATGAATACTATGATACTAATAGGTAAATAAATAAACATCCAACAAATCAATTCTGATTTCTGCCTATCAACAAAATTAGGCGTCAACTGTTGAATAAGTTATACAAATAATAGCAGAGTTCTTACGTTCTTTGCTTGAATAATAAATCATGTTAGCTCTGTTTATAAGAGAATAGAAAAGACTTTTGGCTAGCTGCGCCCATGCGGTTGCCCCATTGATTGCCAGCTAATGTGGTATTTATGTTTGGCCATATGTTGCATGCCAAGAGCCAAAATCCAATAAAGTTGAATGACCAAGTCGACAGCGGAGTTGAACTAATTGTGATTGGCGTCGCCCTTGACAACGGTCGAATGTTGTTATGGTGTATTCCCAGCCATCCCAGATATTTGTTGAGGCTTTGGTGACTTACCCGTCTGGTTGACCTGCTGACACGTATTGTTCACATGGATCTCGAACTTCTCACAGCATTTGTTTACCAGCACCAGATTGGGATCGTGGGCGACTGGCACTGCCGCCTGTATTGAGCTGTTATTGGCCACATGAGCGGAAACGGCAACGGCTAGTAGGGCGGAGAGCAGGGCCAGCAGAAGGCAGCTGCACTTCGCCAGGTAGGGCAGAATTTGCGCGCCAAGCGTAAATACGAGCATCATGCTCAAATACACACAGCGCAGTCAGATACACCTACAGAGACAGACACTGACACAGTTACACGTATTCGTACTCAGAGTCGTAATCGCATGCGTCATCAAAGCTGTGGCTGATGCCGGTTTCGAGCCAAGATCATGACTTGCATGCCAAAAACTCAAGCCACAGCAGACGACGAACGAGAGTTTCTTCTCCTCACTCTTATTTCTTTGTAGAGTTCAACACAAATGCAAACAAGCACACGTTTATGGGCTTCCGGGTGAATATGCAACTAAAACTAAAGCCAAGCGAATCTGATCGTCTCACATAGTCTGCCGAGTATACACGAGATACTATTGCTTATTTGCTAAACAATTTTTGTTTGCATTTTATACAGCAAGCGCACAAATTCCCAAAGACAACCAACCGCTGCGAACGACAACTGACTGAGACTGCGGCTGAGAATGTGAATATGACTCTAGTGCGGCTCTCCCTCTCTCTTGGCCGCTCACTCTGGCTGTGAGCGCGTCAGTTCGCGCTCTTAACTTCTAGTGACTAGCTCAAGCAGACTGAGAGAGCAGCAGCAGTTGGCACTCGCTGAGTGTAGAGTTTGCTTCCCCTCTGAGTCGTCTCTTCTGCTCACAACATTCCACAACAGCAACCACCAAGCACAACAAATCGTTGAAGCAGGGCTTTGAGTCAATCTCGTTCGCTCCCTCTCCACATACACGAACTCAAGCGTTTTTCGTTTGCTTTGTTTAAATTGAAGAACGGAAATTATCAATTGGAGCAAAACAGGCAACCGGCAATTCCAAATGTGTGTTTGGCTGCGTGTGTGTGTGTGTGTGCATGTTTGTTGTTTGTTTGACTGTCCGTGTGATGATGTGATAAGACGCCAAGGCACTCCATCCACAGGGCTCGTATATGGCTGGCGTCTTTGTGCATCCCAGCACAATGCAACTGCAACAACCCCTCATTGCAATTGAAAACGCGTGCCTTGTCTTTCATTGTGTCCCACTTGTCAGCACTTGGGAGCAGAAGCAGGAGCGGTACCCCAATGTATTTGAACGCGACTCCCTAAGAGAAGCCCTTCTCATATCACACCTTCCACAAAGATACAATCGACACCAATATACTTTTCAGTTTTCATAAAAATCTCTGTGGAGAGAAGAGATTTTATATGAAACGCCTTTAAAGTGGGAGTTTTTTAATATCTTAACATAAATATAATTCCATAAATGAAAAAAAAAATATTAAATTCGACGAATATATCAAATATCCTTCACATATCTTGTTTCTCTGCGAGCCCAATAAGGACTTCCGTCAACTGGACAAACTGCTTTTTGTTAACTTGTTAGTATAATTAGCGTTCTCCACTCTCCCAATGCCAAGTTAAGGTTGACAGTTTGTAGACTTTACGACTCGCACAGCTCTTAGTTTATTGCCCAAAATGATGACGTAGTGGAATTAAGCGGCTGTTACAGACCGACTCCAGCTCTCTCTCTCTCTCCCCCTCCCTCTCACTGTCTCTCCCTCTCTCTCCCTCTCTAGCGTCATGTTACCTGTGCTAGCGTTTCGAAGAGAGTTCTTTCTAGATGCTTGTGTGCGACTCTATACGTGTGTTTGTAGAGTTCTGAGCACAGGTAGTGGTAATAAAAAATACGTTCCATTCAATGCACGCGTTTGCAACACAACGCAGGAGCGGTTCAGTTAGGGGCGCCTCAATAATGATGACTGCATAGGATGCATGCATATGTAATATACAATTATTAAGTCTCTGTTTTATTACTAGTTCATAATCTTAATTATTAAAAAAAATGGTTATTAATATATTATATTATTAATATAATGATCTTTTTGCTTACCCTGTCTAAAACATTTTATACAGCTCTTGGATATGCTCAAGTTTTACACCCGTTTCGAAATCAACGATGTAACGGGTAACTCGCTGACTGATCATGATATGACCCAGCTGCATTATAAAAAGATAACGTCACTGCAGCGCGCTGTGTTTGCCAAGTTCTCTACGTTGCGCATCTTTGCCTTGTCCAATGTGGCGTCAGTTGACACTCGTGAGTCGCTAGAGAAACATTTTGGCGCATTGGATGCAGATGGGCTAAAGCAAATAGCCACCTTTCTCAATCTTGTGCCCGACGAAGCCGTGGAGCCATTCGAATGGCATCGCTTGGATGAACAGTTCCTGCGTGAGCTGCTCATCATGCGACATGAGAAACGATGCTCGCAGCTGGAAGCGCTGAACGAGATGCCGCTCTATCCCACAGAGCAGATTATTTGGGATGAAAATGTTGTGCCATCCGAATATTATACCGGTGACACTTGTCTGGCTCTGCCCAAGCTAAATCTACAGTTCCTCACGCTGCACGATTATCTGCTTCGCAATTTTAATCTGTTTCGCCTGGAGTCCACCTACGAGATTCGACAAGATATTGAGGATGCTGTCAGCAGGATGCTGCCGTGGCAGTCGGAAGACGGTGATGTAGTCTTTGGTGGTTGGGCTCGCATGGCACTGCCTATCGCCAGCTTCGCTGTGGTCGAGGTGGCCAAGCCGCATCTGGGCGAGAAGAAGCCATCGCGAGTGCGTGCCGATGTGGGGGTAACGCTCTCAGTACGCCGCGAGATTAAGGAGGAGTGGGAGAATCTGCGGAAGCATGACGTCTGCTTCCTTATCACGGTCAAACCCACCATGCCGTACGGCACAAAGTATAATCCCCGGGAACCGTTCATACCTCAAGTGGGTTTGGTTAGCGTGCGGGGCTGCGAGGTGGAAGGCATGCTCGATGCTAATGGGCGTGTCATTGAGGAGGGGCCAGAACCGCGGCCCATGCTGCCGGGTGAGCAGCGGAGCTATCGAGTGTGGCTGGACTCAAATCAGTATCGCATGGACATGGACGACTTGCAAGAGGTAAGCTTAGAATGTCATTATTTGGCGGCTAATCCTTACTTGATTTATTTAGGGTGCCGACGACGTCTATGAGAGCTTCAACATTTTGATGCGTCGCAAGCCAAAGGAGAACAATTTCAAGGCCGTGCTGGAGACCATTCGGCATCTTATGAACACAGAGTGTGTGGTGCCTCCCTGGCTACACGACATACTGCTAGGCTATGGCGATCCGGCAGCGGCACACTACAGCAACATGCCAAATCAGGAACGCACTCTTGAGTTCAATGACACCTTTCTTGACTACGATCATCTAAAAGCCAGTTTCCCTGATTACGAACTCAAGTGCGAAGCGCCTGAAGAAAACAGGGCCCCGCCCTATCGCCTCACATTTGAAGATGTGCCTGAGCAGCGTGACAGTGATACGGAGCAAATGGAAACGGAGCAGTCTTCCATCTCTAAATCAATTGTGGTACAGCCTTATAAATACGAAGCGAGAGGTCCCTATCCTAGCGACAAACCCAAACAGAATTGCATACGCTTTACGCCCACACAAATCGAGGCTATACGCGCTGGTATGCAGCCGGGTCTTACCCTGGTGGTTGGTCCTCCTGGCACGGGAAAAACAGATGTCGCCGTTCAGATTATCTCAAACATTTACCACAATCAGCCCAATCAACGCACGCTGATTGTAACCCACTCAAATCAAGCTCTAAATCAGCTGTTCGAGAAGATTATGGCTCTGGATATTGATGAACGGCATTTGCTGCGTCTAGGTCATGGTGAAGAGGCGCTAGAAACCGAAAAGGACTTCAGTCGCTATGGACGTGTTAACTACGTGCTGGCCAAGCGTATGGATTTACTTACTCAGGTTCAGCGATTGCAGGAGGCGTTAGGCGTTAGCGGCGACAATGCCTACACCTGCGAGACGGCAGGATACTTTTATTTGTACAATGTGATGGCACGTTGGGAGAAGTTTCAAAGTCAAATGCTAGCTTACAGTAATGAAACGGATATGAGTAAGCTTTGTGCGCTGTTTGAAGCTGAATTTCCGTTTTCCAAGTTCTTTGCCGATGCCCCACAGCCACTCTTTAAGGGAAACAGCTTTGATGATCTTATGGGCATAGCGCAGTCTAACTTTCGATATATATCCGACATATTCACTGAGCTGGAGGAGTTCCGCGCCTTTGAGCTACTACGCACAGGCTTAGATCGTTCCAAATATTTGCTTGTCAAGGAGGCCAAAATCATTGCCATGACCTGTACACATGCAGCGCTCAAACGCAAAGAGCTCGTGAATCTGGGCTTTCGTTATGACAACATATTAATGGAGGAGTCGGCGCAAATCTTGGAAATAGAGACATTTATACCGCTACTGCTGCAGAATCCGCTGGACGGTCTCAATCGCCTGAAACGCTGGATTATGATTGGTGATCACCACCAACTGCCACCCGTTATTAAGAACATGGCATTCCAGAAGTACTCGAACATGGAGCAGAGCCTATTCACACGTTTGGTTCGCCTGGGCGTACCAACTGTTGACTTAGATGGTCAGGGACGTGCACGTTCCAGTATTTGCTCGCTGTATAAATGGCGCTACAAGAAACTGTCCGATCTGCAGCACATCTTTGAGCGTGATGAATATAAACACGCAAATACAGGCTTAGCCTACGATTATCAGCTAATCAACGTGGACGATTTCAAAGGCGTGGGCGAAAGTGAACCGAATCCCTATTTCTATCAGGTAATTTATTAATTATTGTTCATTATTCTTGATACATTTCTAACCAATCTTTCTAAATCAGAATCTTGCTGAGGCGGAGTACATCGTTGCTCTTTACATGTACATGCGCCTGGTTGGCTATCCAGCAGCGAAGATATCAATTCTGACCACCTACAATGGACAGAAGCATCTCATTCGCGATGTTATCAACGCTCGATGTGGTAACAATCCGCTTATTGGTTGGCCGTACAAGATCACCACCGTGGACAAGTACCAGGGCCAGCAGAATGATTTCATCTTAATTTCCCTGGTGCGCACAAAGGCTGTTGGCCATTTGCGAGATGTGCGTCGACTTGTCGTAGCTATGAGTCGAGCACGTCTCGGGTTGTACATCTTTGCACGCGCATCGTTATTCAAGAATTGCCTAGAATTACAGCAGACCTTCAAGTTGGTAAGTGGAACAATTGAGATATGCTGGGCACTAAAACTAATCTAAGTATATTCCAGCTCATGCAGCGACCATTAAAGTTATGCTTGGTGCCAGCCGAAGAATATCCAACAAAGCGACTTACGAGCGAAACGCCATCCGACGATGTCTGTAAAACCATAGAAAACATGTCTGAGATGGCGCAGTTTGTCTATGAGCTTTACATGACTAAATTGGAGGAGCTAAAGAAGACGCTGCCCACTGAGGAAGAGATGCAAGCCATGCGTAGCCAGCTGCCAAAGGACGATGCAGATGATTCTGATAACGAGGCATCAGCGATTGCAACTGAAGCCAATGAAGAGCCGCCACAGAAAAAGGTAGCAAAGGATAATACTAAAAAGACGCAAGAAGCATTCAAGCCCACGCCAATAGTGAATGAAATCCACGTGGATGAGCCTGAAATGGAAGAACAGCAGGAAACAGAAGGCCAAGAGACTGACGCTCCCACTACAGAGCAGGAAACTGCTGAATCGAAACCGGAAGCTTCTTAGCGGCTGCTCCCAACATTTAATTCCAATCATTTTTAACAATTTATTAAACGCGACAAAAAGAACGTGCACACATAACATGCCCCTTTTACTTCTTCGGTGCTGTAATGCCCTCCAGCTGGGCCTTGAGCTGTGCATTGGTCTTCTTAAGGAATGTGATCTCCTCAGTGAACTTCTTCTCCTCGGAGGCGCGCAATTCGGCATTACGACGCTCCGCTTGCTCCTGTTTCATTTTCATATCTGAAATTATTTCCTCCAGGGCTTCCTTATCTGACTCCAAGGTCTTTACACGATCGCGAAGCATTTCTTTCTCTTCATGTGCCTGCAGAGCCTTTCGCATGCCAAACGCCACAGAGCTACAGTAGAGAGTTTCGTAGGCTTCCATAGACATTGCAATCTCGTCACGAATGCGTAATAGGAGTAATCCACGCTCCGAGCAATTGATTGTTACCTGACGAATAATCTCATCTGTATTGAGAAACTTATTAGGGTGTGTGTGAGAGTAAATTCAGCCAATAAAAACTCACCAAAGCATTGAGAGTAGAGCTCGCGGCGAACGGGACATATTCCCGTCTCGCGGGCCTGGGTTTGCTGTAGACGAGTGTCCAGCATTTCCTGTAAATTGATAACATCCTGGCGAGTGGCCGGTGTGCTGGACACAGATTGCTGCCACAATTGACCATCCTCTTCCCAGCAGCGAGGAGGCAATATAGAGTTCAATATTTCCTCTGTCTCTTTCTTGGTGTCTAGAAGGGCGCCTGCTGTTTGAGGGCGCTTCATTTCCATCTCAGTCAGCGGAGCGCCCTTCTTGTCCGGATGCTTGACAACCAGCACCGGATTATTGTAGCGGACCAGGGTCTGGAAGTGCCCCACATTTGCAATTTCCATTTCATCCATCTTGCAGGCTTTGGTACTCTTCGGTCAATTTCAAATCAAAAAAGAAAAACAATAAGGTAATCTATGGAAAATATAATTGTGTGTATTCCGATCCGACGTGTTCAACAATTTTTGTTGATTTGAAAAAACTGAAATGCCTGTATTGGGGAAACATCCGAAGAGGCTTGAGTTTGTTTATTGTTCCTAGCAACTGTGGCTGACGAGCAGCGGAGAAAACTTTTGTTTACCGGCCAAATATCAACAGGTGGAAGGAGTTTGGTAGCCAAAGGGGAGGTTTCTTACTAAAACATATGTTATTTGTTTATTTGATTGTTTATTATATCGTATTCATACTGTAAATGCAAACAAATGAGTTATGACTCTGTTCTCATGGACTCCATAGAGCAGTTGATGTTGCACAAACGTCTTCTATGTATTTATATAGTAATATCTTGAACTAAATATATTTAACTTATGCGTATGAGCAAGCGCGGCTAATTAAACTTTAAACTTAAGGACTAATAGTCAAAGACCGAAACTAACGTAATACAAAATGGAAGAGCAAATAATTTAGTCTTTTTCTAAATGGTATAACTTAGTAATACATAAAAGTGAGTACGCGTTTAAACTAATATCGCGGCGTTGTTCAAGTCGAGGAAATCAATAATATTAACCATAACTAACGCTTACATATTATGCTAGACATCCATATTTTCAGTAGATATATATAGGTATATATTTATATGCATGTATATATATATGTGCGGTTTGTTCATATATATTATTGTCATTATTTATGCGGGAGAAATTCCACTATGGGGTTTAGTTGGTAGCCGTTTACATACTTTAATACGTTAGTATTATAAAGTTTCCTTTTGTTTCTTGATTAGTTGAGCTTGAAATATTCGTTAGCATATTATTATATACCACTACGCTATATATATATATATATATGTATATGAATATAATTATGTATGTATATGATCGTGTCTGTATATGCACTTGTATAAAGTTATATTTACGCAACGGCTAACTCGGAAAATGCAAAAATTAAATGAATTGAACTAAATCGTATCTACGGTTTCTCTATATAGTTAGCTACTACAACATTTACAATTCAGATTTTAGCTGCAGATTGAACTGCTTAAATAAGCTCGGCTACGGCATCGTCACCATCTCGTATTGGTGCCTGGAATGTGGAGCCCGTGAACTCGTACATCTGCAAAATAAAAAGGATCCAAATTATTTCTCAACTATATGCATTAAATTGGCCAATAACTTACAGAAGGAGCTCGATTATTGCGGAGCGTTGCATAGTCCGCAAAATCATTGCCATGCGGATCAATACGTGTTAGAAGCAGACCAGCACCGCCAAGTCCACCGCCACTGGCTGCACCACCGCTTCGCATGGAAATGGAGCCACCACCACCGTTCCCACCAGAGCCGGCAGTCAGACGATTCTGATTATTGCGTGGCTGGATGGTGGCATACGTATTGTCCACCGACTGGCCATGATGCACCTGCTCCAGGGAACTCCGATGATCTAAATGACCTGGCGCATCTGAGTTAGATATGTGATCAGGCTCCGAAAATACTTGCATGGTCAACTCTTGCTCTTCATACAGCTTGAGTTTTCTATAAATAAATAGTAATAAGATAAATGAATGAAAATAGTTTAAAATTAAGGAATACATACTGTTCAATCCAGAGCGGATTCTCCGTCGTATTCAAGTCCTCGATAATTTGCTTTTTGATCAACGCCTCCTTGCGACGTGTCTCTACGGGCACTGAGAGATTCCAATGCTTCAGACAGCAGCAGAGCACAATGAAGCTAATGACGCCCACAAAGAGCACTATGACCAGTGCCACAAGACCAGCCACGGCCAAATCAAACTCATCCTGCACAATCGCTATATAAGCAGGAACAACATTCTCAATGGCAAATCCTGCATAGTAATCCTACAACGAGAGATGCACGTGGGTTATATTATTGATTATTGAGGGTAAAAAAAAAATATTACCTTGAGATAGTCATAGTTTCTGTCAATATCCTTCAGAATTTCATCGACGGGCGCTATTTGCTGTGACTGCGGATCCACGGCATGGAAGTACAAATCACACCAATCCATGCGAATACGTCCAATAGAGTCCAAATGGAAACGTATTTCGTCCACAATGATGCGATGCTGTGTGGCATTGCGTAGCTCAGCAATAATCTCTTCCTGCTCCTGATAGACTTCCTCTGGTGGCCGGGATAGAATCACCCTGACCAATTGAGTACCATCAAATACCCAAATCTGAAAAGCTCACATTATTAAATATAATCTCTCATTGCCTCTCGCAGCCAGTTAGCTTACATTAACTTTAGTGTTCGCCGAGCGTTGCGGCTGCTCCAGCTCTCTAGCCACAATCTCCAACTCAAAGCGATCTTGATTGTACTCCGCCATCATTGTATTGGCTGTGATACGACCATCTTGCGATATGGCAAACGGACTTGGCACAATGGAACCCGTTGATTTTGTGGCACCGAATTTGTACAGATTAGAGGCAACGATCATGTACTCAATCTTGGCATTTTTTCCCTGATCCGCATCCGTGGCATTTACTATCGTGATGGCCGCATTCATTTTGGCATTAGCATTAACGCCGGCATAATAAACGGGTTTCTCAAACACCGGCGCATTGTCATTGACATCGAGCACGGTGATAGCTACCTTGGCGACGGTATTGTCTCGATTCAGAGTCTTGATCGAAAACGAGGCCCGCTCCTCTTCAGATATATGTAAATCCGCTTTGATGCTGGCCAATATGTACAGAGTATACGCATCAGTCTCCTCACGATCCAGACTCTTATTGGTATAAATATCTCCAGACAGCTTGTCCACGTAGAAAGCGCCATCTTCATTACCCAGCAACATGTAGTAAAATATATCCCGATTGTGTTTGCTACGCGAGGCGGCTTGAATGTGTCCAATCTTGACGTCGCGACCGCTGTTCTCATTTATTGAAACCTTGTAGGGATTAGAGGCGTCCGGAAACTCTGGTCGATTCTCATTCGCATCTACAATGCTTACGGTCAGCAGGCGAAGTGACTCAAATGGCGGATTGCCAGCATCACGTGCCACCAATATGATATCATAGCTGCAGAGATATTAAGGATGTTAACTATTGTCCGACTCAAATAATAATTTACTCTTACTTACTTGGCACGAGTTTTGCGATTGAGCTGCTGCCTGACGCGTAGCTCCCCGCTGGCCTCATCGATCTTGAACTCAGCCGTCTGCTGCACATTTTGATTATTCACCTGCAGATGATAGCTGACTTTTCCGATACCGTCGGTGTCATTGTCCAACGCCTTGACGGTCAGTAGCAAATAGTCGGGCTGCACGATGTCGCCGGGTATTTCGATTGTGGCATTCGACAGAGCCGGAATCACAAACTCTGGACGATGGCGATTAACGCGCAGAACTGTAATGATGGCCTTTGCAGTTGTCTCCATTGTGCCCGAGCCTTGAGTGTCGCGAGCTGAGATCGTTAGCTCGTAGACACCATGCTTGCCAGCCAGACTTTGTGCTGGATAAATTATGCCCGACTGTGCATCAAGCTTGAACAATGCCATCTCATTGCCCGCTGTTATTATATACCGCACATCCCCATATAGTCCCTCATCCAAGTCAATGGCCTGCACCTGCAGCAGTGCAGCCGGCGGCTGATATGCTGCATTTTCCGAAACAGTCGAATTGTACACGGAACGGGTGAAGACTGGAGCATTGTCATTCACGTCCAAAATATTGATGTGTATCTGTTAATAATGTGAAATGATGCATTTGCCAAATTAATCTGATTGTGCATATGTTTTTATGGGGATCTATCTGTCTAGAGTTCTGCTATGAATTTGTATTTGTAATTATTTACATATACATTTATTCTCTAGCCATATCAATATCTGAATATATGCCTATTGTCACTCACCGTTGCTGTTGCCGATTTCTGTACCGTGGCTGGCGCCTTATCCTGTGCCACAACGGAAAGCGTGAGCTCTTTCAGCTGCTCGCGATCCAATATGGATGCATTGGCTACCATCACGTTGCCCGTGTAGGCATCGATGCTAAAGTATTTATTATTCTCGCCTATCAGGGTGTACGTCAGCTCGCCGAAGGCCCCTACATCGCTGTCGTGGGCCTCCACTTTGCCAGCAACTGTGCCACGTGGTGAATTCTCAGTGATGTTGAAATAGTATTCAGCCTGGGTGAAGTGCGGCTCGTTGTCATTCAGGTTGATGATATCGATGACAATGTCCGCCGTAGCTGTCAGTGGCGGTACGCCGGTATCGCTGACTGTTGCCGTGAGTTTCACCTCCTTGACGGCCTCGTAGTCCAGCCGGGCAGTTGTATAGATGGTGCCTGTGGTATGATTGATGGCGAAGTAATCATTGGCCGTTATGTTGAACTCGCCAATGCTGGAGTCCTCGTCGCTGGCCTGCAATGTGGTCAGCACGGTGCCGACTGGCTGCTCCTCGACCATTTGCAGCTTTATCACCGGTTGTTCGGGGCTCCAGGGTGCATTGAATCTCTGTGTGGATTGAAAGAATGTGGAAGCGAGCATGTTGTTTATGAAAATTCAGTCACATTATTATTTGGAAATTTAGCTGTTCTCAGACGTTCGAAATGGTGCAAGATATGTCCTATGGAAAGCTAAAGCTGCTCTTTATAAATATCGTTTCTGTATTGTATAAAGCAACCTCTTTGAATGTCCATCGATTACATCTGGATTTGCGTGAAGTCAAATTGTTGGTCAATGCGGCCAAACAAGAGATCTGGATCCAAGAGATTTTTATATTCCTCATATCCGGCTTGATTCTACTGCGCTTTCTCATGTGCTTTGTTGGACTAGCATCAAATATCATTGCAATGTAAGTTCCTCATTTAGAAACCTTTCCCAGAAACGTCTTATAGTCTTGATAGTATTAACTAATAACTTTTTTTACTATCCTCCAAATCTATTCTGTATATTTTGCAATTTCCATTACTATTAAATTGATTTTGTTCTAATTTTTTACCCTGCATAAATCCCAGTTATCCAATCCTGACAAATTCCCAGCCTGAACTGCTGATGCCTACCATCATTTTGCAGATCCTGGACAGCGTGGCATTAAACATCTACGAAATAATTCTGGGCTATGCCTGTATAAAGTATTTATACCCACAATCCATCTCGGTTTTTGTGGTATTCTTCGCAAAAATGATTATTAAAACAATCTGCTACATAACGGTGCTGTAAGTGGCCTTTGACTAAAGATTGCTGATTGTGATAATGCTAAGAATCATTTTAGTTTCTGGCAAATCATAATCGGCAACATATCGGTAGTGAATAAATCTCACACATGCCTCACATTTTACTCTTCCCACAGCAATCTTTTTTCAGAAAAGCAGCACGAAATTATGTCACACATGACCTACACCGAGAACGGAGCCAATCTTGAGCGCGAAAGCAGCGAAGAATTCGAAATAGCCCATGTACAATTTCGGCCAATCGATTCGTAATAAAGAGTAGGTATAAATTTGATAGTGAAAAGGAACTGACCGGTGGTATTTTATTCACATCGATGATCTGAATGATGAGCAGGCCGCGTCCTTGCTGCACATTGGGCGCAGTGCTGTCTGTGACGAGGACATTAATGCGCATTACCGCAAAGAGATTGCGATCCAATTGCCGGTTGACCAGAACCTTGCCATTGCGAGCGATGGCAAAGTATTCCTTGAACTGTTCGCTGTGGGGCAGCTCCTTGCCCTCCTTGTCGATGGCCGTGATGTCATCGGTGGCAGCAAACTCGAGGGCATTGTGCGTGGCCACATCGGGATCTAGAGCGATCAGTGTGTAGACCAGGTGGCCAGTGGGCGCATCTGCACGCACCTCAGCATGCTGTGTGGCGGGCACGAAGTAGGGATCCTTGTCGTTGCTGTTCTGCACATTGATTGTCAATGTGGCGGTGCCCGTCAGACTGGGCGTGCCCAGATCGGCCGCCTGCACCTGCAGGTGGTATGTGTTGCGTCTGTCGTAGTCGAGCTTGCGGGAGACAAACACCTCGCCTGTGCGCTCATCAATGTCAAAGTCATTGAAGCTGCCCTGTTGTATGCGGTAGCGTAGCTCCGCATTCTTGCCCGTATCCAGGTCGGTGGCCTGCAGCTTCTCAACGCTGGTTCCGATCTCCGAGTTCTCTTCAACGACGGCACTGTAGTTTTGCTGCTGGAAGTTGGGCACATGGTTATTGACATCGCGCACTGTAATGTTGACGCCGCAGTTGGCCGTGAAGAGTCCATCGTTGGCTTCGACCACAAATATGAGCTGCTCGCTCTTCAGATTCGTTACATCCAGGCTGGCATTGGGGCGTATGCTGATCTGGCCGCTTCGCTTGTCAATGTCAAAGATGCTCTCGATCTGCGGTGAGCCAATAATCCGGTAGCTAATGCTGGACATGGTGTCCGCATCGCGCGCCTTAACAACCAGTGGCGAATCAAAGACCAAGGCGCCCTCATCCACACTTGCCCTGTAGAGGGGACTCTCACATACGGGCGGTGAGTCATTGGCATCGCTCACTGATATCCGTAGGGAGACCACAGAGGTCTGACCTTGTCCATTGTCGTCGGTGGCCTGCATAGTAATCAAAATAAAAATCAGATTGTGTGAGAAATATGTATATCGATAACAGATTTTCGCAGACACTGGCGACACTTGAATACCCTGAAGAAGTTAATTTGTTTGGGTTTTAATAAGATTCCATTTAGCAGATGTGTATATGAGGTGCTAGACCTTGAGCATTATATGCTTTCATTTCTTAGAGAAACACCTAACATTTCGTATCAACCATGCATTTCTGTTAACACTGTTTGTTGGCCTTTTTCACTTGAAACTAAACCAAATGTGTTACTGTTACATTTGTATATAAATCACATTCTGCTCTCCAATTGCATCACATAGTTAAGTGCCCCAATAAAAGGCCACGAAATTCATTGTTTGTCAACCTCTTCCCACACCCACCTTGTATGACAAGAAGTACGTGGTCTCCGTTTCATAGTCCAGACACGTCGCCGGCGCCTTGCTGCTGGCGGCTTTGTCGTCATTAGCAGCTGCCGCCGCTACCGCTGAAGTTGCCGTTGTTCCTGCTTCTGCTGCTGTTGCTGCTGTCTCCGGCTGCAACGGCGCCTGCGTGATTAACGTGTATTGCACGGTGGGCTCTGTGTTAATCTGTCGCTGGTCGAGGCTGTGTTCCGCCTCCATGGAAAGCATTTCGAGTGCGTGACCATCGCTGTCATTCTCATGGAGGTCACGTCGCTGGCGCCTGTTGCTCTCGCTCTGGCAATCGCCCAGGGTAATGACGCCCGTTTGCTCATTGACATGGAACAGCTCGGCGCCAGTGCCGGAGAGGCTGTAGCGTATCCCTGCATCACCAAAACTGCTCGAGTCCACATCCTTGGCGGTAATCGTAGTTATGTACTGTCCGGGCAACGCTGCCTCCGAGACTATAGCCGAGTAGCTCTCCTGCTCGAAGCTCGGCTTGTTATCATTAGCATCCAGCACACTTACAGTTATGGTGGCTGTGGAGGACAGCTTCGGATTCGTATCCGTCTCCTCCGCAATTACCAACACTATGAACTTCCGCTGATTGGGATTCTCGTAGTCCAGAGTCCCATTGGCGACACGTATGTTTACCTGTGAGTAGCCGGTGACTAGCTTAGGCTCCACGTCGAACACCCCGGACACATCCTCTAAGCGCAGCGCAAACTTCGAGTTGATGCCCACATCGGCATCACTGACGCTCATGTCTAGGGCCAGTGGAGTGCCCTCTGGGGTGTTTTCGGGCAGCGCTACATCGTATTCCTTCTTGTTAAATTTGGGTGGAGAGTCATTCACATCGCGTATGGTCACAGTAGCTCTGGCCGTGGCACTCGTCAAGGGGTCATCACTAGGCACATCATTCACCACCTCGCGGGCCCGTACCACCAGTGAAATCAAGCCAGTAGAATCTGTCAGGGCCTCACGATCCAAAGGCTTCGCAGTGCGAAGTTCGCCACTGTTTGCGTCCAGCAGAAAGTAATCATTGGGATCTGAGTGGATTTAGAGAGACGAAATGCAATCATGTAACAATAGATTGAGTTAAGATCTCATAAATAATGTCTGTGATCTACTCACTGCTCAGTAAATCGTAGACAATTTTCCGTGGTTCGCCCTTGTCGCCATCACGAGCCTGAACGGTGAGCACCAAAGTGTTAATGGGACTATCTTCGTCGATGACCGTTGAAAGGGATTGCTGAAAGACTGGCGGCTTATCCTGCACATCCTTGACGCGTGCCTCAAAAGTGGTTTGGGTTTTGTGCACTCCATCGGTCGCCTCGATTTGGAAGTGATAGATCATGCGCTGGTTGTAGTTCAAGGTATCGTTGACCACCACAGCAGCCGTTAGGATAGTAGCCTCCCGCGTTAGCAATTGCAAATGGAACCTGCAAAGATTAGTTGGACTTAGCTCGATAGATTTCATCAATGTACCGCTGTGACTTACTTGCTGCACGCTTCAGGACTTTGCTGCTGTGGCACACATTTGAGATCAAGGCTGTCACCGATTGTGTCGCGGTCCTTGACCAAGATTTTGTCGAATATTGTGGTACCAACAGCCGCATCTTCATTAACGTCCGCTTCATAGGGGGTCTATGGGGCAGTGAATCAAAGTAATGTTAAATCTCGTAATAAATCTCAGTGCTCCTATTCCAACTTACATTTTGAAACTCTGGCGGATTATCGTTCTCATCCAGTATGATGAATGTAATTGGCTGTTCCACCACATTGTCCTGCTCGGATTCGCCATTTGGATCCACGCGATCTCTGATCGATACCAAAAACGTCAAGCTATCCGTTTCCTCGCGATCCAATGGCTTAACCAGTGTTATATTTCCCGAAATTGGGTCCACGCTGAAGTGATCGGAGCCAATGGAGCCAAATGTGACATTGCTCTCCTCAGGATCGTAGCCTTTTAACCGAAAGACCACTGAGCCCACCGGCTTATTCTCGTACAGTACGATATTGTTGAGCGTTTGTGTAAACACAGGTGGCAAATTTGTCTCAGCTGCAGGAGTATTAAAGGCTTTATTATAGCCAAGTCGATTTGGTAAAATTGTACAAAAAATACTTACAGCTGACTAGGTCCGATGCCAGACAGATTATTAACAGCGTCAGCGTCCACTTCATTTTGTCGACTGAAAATGAAAACAAATGTGTGTGTTTTTTTTATTCACGGGATGTAGCATATAAACAAACTAAGCCAACAGATTTGCCAAATTACAAAATAAGAGAAAGAGAGAAAAGGAATGCTGTTAGCTTGTTTCCACTTTTGGATTTGCATTTTTTCGGCCATTTGTTGCGCAAACAAACAACAGAGATAAATTAAATTTCATGCTGAAAATTCAATTAGCTGACAACACACAACAGGAAGGCGCGTGCTATGCTATAGTAGGGCGCGCAGGGAGGGGTGTCGAAGGGGATAAGCGAGTGGCGTCAACAACAATGGCCATAACAATATAACGATGCTGATGACAAGCTACAAAACAACAACAACAGCAGCAACAGCAGCAACAAAGGCCAGCAAACAGCAAGCAGCAACCAGCAACATTGTTCCAAATTGTGCACTTTAACTGGAGCTGAAGTCCGGGAGTTCGGGAGTTCGGCACTCGGGCATTGGGCATCTGCCGGTAGTTGGCCGCTTAAAGGCGCCAACGTTTTTAATGTCCCCGGCACGCACGACCGGAGCTTTGTGCATGAGGACCAGGCTTTAAAACGTATCTTCCAGCAGCAACAGCAGCAGCAGCAGCCATGGCTCTGTTGCTGCCTGTAATCTGCCGGTCAGAAGCAGAGCTTGCCCACAGGGGGGCTACGGCGTGGTACAGATGCAGGGCCCGCTCCCGAACAGACAGACAGCCAATTAGTTTTGCATAAAAACTCCACTGGAAATGTTACAGTAAAGCCTCGCATTTTCTCTGTGTTTTATTAGCACGGACTACACTGCACGGGCCGGACGAGGCCGGGCCGGACTTCGGGCCAAATGTCCGCAGGCTTATGTGGTCCATAAATAACCTATTTACCTGCCCGTTACCATTGACCATAAACCGAACATTTTAAGGTTTTGCGAATGCTGCGGATTGTTTGGCATTTCAAGCTCTGTATTAACACCATTCCAATGAAACAAATACATAAACTGCTATTTCAATTCCAATTTTTGAGGCGAAATTAAAGTAAGTATGATGCATATAAAGCATAATTTTCAAGTATGTTTACACATCTATAAATTTAAATAGGTTTTACTTTTATTTTCAATACTAATCCAGAGTGTCATTCTTACATTCACAGAGCATTTTACACTTTGAAATGTAAATTCTGTGATAACCATAAATATTTTGTTGGAATGCTATTTATTTTCGCATAGAGGAAACTGGAAGCTTTAATGCAACTGGTTGCTGCTGCTGTGAATGCAATATTTACTCTCATGACTTGGCTTATTGCTGTTGCTGTTGCAGTTGCAGTTGCACTTGCATTTGCAATTTTGCCGACTTTACATTTATGTCCTGCTAAATGGTATTTAGTGCTGACATGCATAGTTTCTTGTTTTGAGACAGGTCACTTGATTACAAGTGTAATTTAGGGTTATTTGAATTATGTAGCCAAATACTGAGCAGATACATGTCTATCGATTGTAATCTGGCCACAGATATCCTTGCAGTTCCCAAGACTCTTAATGTCCACAGTCCAGTTTGTCAAGTAAGATGCACTAATTGCTGGATTGCAATGGTTTCTCACAAAAAACTAAGATTCAAGATAATTGACGACATAATATGCAAATGAAATTGTTTGACTTATGTTTCACGACTTTCCTAAACGGAATTCTAATAAATATACACACTCCAAAGCTAAAACGTACTTTTGGAATTTTCATCAAAAAAGTTAAGAATTTAATACGTTATCGATAATACGTTACAGCTCATTCTGATGTACTTACAATTCATGTGCTCAATCTAAATATTCGATCCCATCCATCAAAATCATCAAATTTCAATCATATAGTAAAATTTATGTGGCATGTATGTATGTATGTGTGAGTGAATTTTTCGTTTCATGTTTGTCAATACTCAAACCTGTTGAAGGATATTTGCCGTTGCCTCAGCCTCTTCCTTCCTATACCTTTACACATTCCCTGAGATTTAAGCCTTCGATGGCAATGTTATACCCTTTATATACATATATATATATATATATATATATATATTTTGGCTGGCTTTTCTTCTTCCTTCTGAGTCATCATCATAAAACGCAAAATCTACCTTAAGTCAAATTTGCTTTATGCAAGGGTAAGGTTGCCATAAAAGGTGAGAGCTGGGGCAGCAGCTCGGGCAATCTCATGTTCCTATTGCGCATCGTCGTCGTTGTCGTTGAGTGCTATGTAAACTTGGCGTTCATGTTCCGTAATCCTTCATGCAGATTGCCTTTCATACGGCGGCAAGGAGCAAGGCATGCCAAACGTAATAAATCATATTTATTTAAAATAAATTGTATTTCTTCTGTTCTGTTGCCAGCACAGACAGCCAGACAGCCAGGCAGCCAAGCAACCTCAGCCAGCCACCGGGCTAGCCAAATCGCTTTTCTTGGGGCTAAGGGCAATAATAATTGAATTATGTGCGCATCAAAAACTTCTTAGCCTCAGAATTGCCGCCAGTTGCGACTAGTTGCAAATCCATTTTGCGCTTTTCTTGCCCACTTTTTGGAGGCAAGCAGTGGCTAATCCCAAAGCTGATGCAGCAAGCAGATTGCAGCTGAAATCTGGATGCACTAATAACTTTTTGCTTCTACTTCTCCTGCTCTATCCCACACACAGTCTCTTCCTCTCTTTCGCTCTCGCTCTCTCTCTCTCTCTCTCTCTCTCTCAGTGTGCCGCTGGCGGCAACATAATAAAAATGTCAAACTCCTTATGCTGTCGTTTGTAATACATCTTAGTCAAAATATGTTCTTTATGTTTACAACGTCCTTGCCGAGCTTATTTCCTTACTCTGCTTTTGAGCTGCTCTGCTGTCTGGCAGGTTTTTTTTTGTGTTGTCTCTGGTTTTTTATTTTGTGCAACATTTGTTATGCACCACGATGATGACGATGATGATGATCATGATCATGATAATGTTGATGGCGACAGCGATGGCGATGACGACGATGATGATATCGTGTCGTGTCGTATGCGAGTTCACAAAGTGCTCCACTTAAATATGCTATGTAAATCACCTGTGCGAGCTACAGCTCTACGCCGATTGCTCATCCAAACAACCCCAACTCTGCTTTACGCTCTGTCCCCATCTTCCACTCCGGCACCATTCATATAGCTCTGAGCAGCGTGCCAGTGCTGACATTTTCTTTATGTCCTGCACTTTGTTTGCCCCGAGGCTGCATCCAGCCGTCACCAGATTCTATTTAAACGGCATTATCTTCAGTTGCCGTCCTTATCTTCGCTCTGCTGTTGCCTCCATGCAACGTCCTATGGCCATATCTAATGCATGCAATCAATTCCCACTGAGGGGTATATTGCCTCCGTATATCAAACACAATTATTTCAATTTCTCAAAGAATATATGACGAATTCAGCGATTAATTGGATCAGTTTTCTAGTATTTCGATTCTGCCAGCGAGATCCACAGCCTTATAAAATAAAATGTCACCCACACTCCATCTGTTGTCATTATGGACAGCACTTGCAGGATATGTGGCAGGGCAGTCAGTCTCATGCCGCTCATGAATCGTATTTAAATTGCCTTTTTTATATACGTCGCCTGTTTTATTTTCGAGACGCTTTCGCACTGCTGCCATATCTACGCGCTGCGCCTCTCGTTGGCCCGGTTTGCAAAGCGGCCTTTTCTTAATTTATTCATAAGCCTGGTGGCACCGGCACACATCTTGAGTGGAGGCAACAACATTACTATTACTCATGTGGGTGGCAGCAGCACACTCCACTTAGACACACACGCACACAAACATACACTGACACTGACAGCCCACCTGCATCAACAGCAGCAAAGACAACAACAACAACAACAATAGCAACAGCAACAGCAGCAGCAGCAAGCTGTGGCAACCACGTGCGTGCGGCATCGTAATTCAACGCCGCTTGTTTGTTTAGCTCCGGCAAGGCAGTTTGAAGCAATTTCCTTGGCTTGCGCCACCTGCAGCCAACTCCAGCCAGTCAGCCAACCAGCCAGCCACCCAGCCAGAGCGGTGCTCTCTACCTATTTTTAGCGTCCTCATATAATTATGCTTCGCATGTTGTGAGCCTTGTGCTCATTTCGCATTCACAGCGTTTGTGACAGTTTAACAAATTTGGAATTCAAATTGCACCTTGCACCGCGCATCGCGCATCGCGCATTGAGCCTAGAGCCTAGCGCCTGGAGCCTGGTGACAGGCTAAGAATGAGGCGGGTCGGGACCCGAGAGCCCCCTGCCCCCACCTGTTGTTACTCAAGTTGTGCATAAATCTGTGCGAGCGTTAATCGCTATCGCAGTGGCTTCATACTCAAACTTGTCTGCCAGTGGCTCACTTAATTTCCAAAATCCACATAATTATGAGTGCTACGTGCCGCATCGGTAAAGTTGCTTTCCCGAGGCTTAAGGAAAAGCCAAAAAGCAGCGCCAGCGTAGGTCTTATCAAGTTTTCTCTCGCGGCACCATTGTTGCTTTTCCCACGCGTATTAAATCGGAGCCACCCCGACACGGAAACAGGGCCAACCCACAAATCTTCACCCGAGACCCACTCAGGTGAGTTGAGAACGAACTTTAAAATACTGCACAAAAATGAAATTAAAATTGTTGATTTTCGCCTCTCTTTTTTTGTTTTTTTCTGCTATCATTTTCCGTAGGGTAGTTTGTTGAGTGTCTGCATATCGGGGAACGTTCAGCTGCGAAGCCGCGTGTCGATTGTTCACCAGAAGCATCTCCCTCAAGCAGCAGAAGTTTAAATTGGTTTTATGTTAAAGCCAAATGAGTGACTCGAGTTGTGCCTGGTTTGAGTTTTTTTTTTTTTTTTCTGGTGGTTGGGCTGGGCAGGGCTGAGCTGAGCTGGGCTGGGCCACGGTTGGGCCAGGGTGTCCTGTTGCCAGTTGAGTGCCAGGAAATGAAATTTCTTGCGCATTCCTTTTTTATTTCATGTTTCTTTGCTTCACATTGCACAGCTTAAT